GTAAATGTAAAAGGGGTACTGGTGGTGGTGGCGGTAGTGGTGGCGGTACGGCACATTGGGAAGGGTCTGAAGGAAGCGCAGGTCGTAGGGGATCCCCCTTGCGACCGGAAGGAGGGGGGAAGAGGAGCAGTCGCCAAGTGACCGTACATGCATAGCTGCAGTGCCGTCCTCGCAGCTATCTCCGACCCCGAGCTCGCCTAACATGCATTAAGTGTTGACCCAATTGCCAACACCGAGTATGCTTTAGCAGTTTCCTTGGAATTTCCAGCTCTTCGCAGGGCATCTGGTCCACGTGACCGTGGGTGGAGATGGGAGCTAGGAGAGGTCGGCAGCAAACGGCGTTCCCACCCGCCGGCGCCCGAACGTTACCGGGTCTTGATCGCAAAGCCCTTTACTCCTTTCGCTGTCGTCATTCTTGTGCTGTTTGCTCGGTTAGCAATAGTACCTCTTATGCTTGAGCACAGCGAACCCCGGGCCATTGATAGTCAAATTTAAGAATGGGCCTTCTGTCATATCAAAGGGCGCACACAATACGCATAAAATCACACAGTACAGGCAGCGCAATAGCACCGTGCGTTGCTATCTTCACCATTGTGGTTGCTGATCGGCGTTGCAAGGAGGGCTGACGTCATACCTCTCGGGCCAGCTGGCACCTCAACATCAGTGATGATGACTGACGCTTCAAGGAAAAAAAACGAAGCATCAGCAAAAAATCTTCCACGACCGGTTTCATGCCATGCCATGCCATGCCATGCGGTAGATACACAACTCCTTTCGGGGCATCCATTCTTCGCCGCTACTCTTAGTTTCAGCTTTTACGTGTGGCCAATTCGGCCCGGGAAGGAAAGACAAGTGCCAGCACACAGGCCCCACCGCGCCGCATACACATACCCCGCCCCCCCTCGTCGATATCCCGGTAAACTCGCGCCGCAGAGCCTGCACAGTCTGTGGACTTGTGGGCTCTTGTCGACAGGAGGCCCTGACGTCCAAGAGTGGCAGCATCCCCCTGCTGGCTTGACGGCGGCGGCCTAAGTCCCAGCCTCCTCCCCTCTCTTGCATCTTCCCCTCTCTACACCTTCTCCTCGCGCTTATCGGCAGCAACCTGATCGGCACCGCCACCTCGGGCCGCCACCTCGGCTCTGTGCTGTCGTTTCAGTCTGCTGTCGCACCAAGCAGCGTCATGATGGGGGACACAGCGGATGGCAGCGGCGGCGATTGCGGCGGTGTCTGCAGTATTACGGTGTCCGGGTCTTTTTGAAGTCCGTGTTCGATTCTTCGGGCGCTGAGACAGTCCAGACAGCCCCCAGACCGCCCACAGGCGACCACGGCCGCCGGGCTGCCTTCTTGCCCTCCCTGCAGTTGTGTGTTGCTAGTACCTGCTGCTATTGTTGCTACTGCTGACCATTACCATTATCACTAGGGTTGCATAGATTATTAGAATGGCAGGCGTTCTCTACTAATTCTAATATTATTTCTAATTAGAACGTTAGAAATAATATTAGAAGACCTGGGGTAACTTCTCAGGGAGGGGGACTTTTCACTTCGGAGTTTCACCATGGTTACGGCAGATGCTAACCCAGGTGCTTTTAACGGTTTTTACGGGGCTACGACACCCGTAAGCAGGACTTCTCAGCCAAACCCCCGGTCGAAGTGACCTCTGGGTCACTAATTTCGCCTTTAAACTGTCTTAGACTGTCTTAAACTGTCTCTGCGTACGCCTTCCCAACATCTTTGGTACCTGAACCAAGAGTCCAGTCCTAATTGTCTGCAAAGCAACACCCAACACACAGTCCAGACATGCCAAACCTGTCGCCCCAAAACTTCTAGCAAAATCCTCATCAACTCATGCAAATTGCCCCAAGGCTTCCACGGCCCTTTCCTTCACTCCCCCTGCACGTCCAGCCCCTCCAGCAGCTTCTTAAGATGGTTGGGAGCTGTTGCAGACGGATTTTTGGCACCCAGCACCTCGCCGCAAATGGAGCACTTCAGCTTCACGACTCCTTCTGTCAAGATCACGGTGAAAAACGACCACCAGGAAGCACTGCCTCTCGCTTTTGCACTCTTCAGGGCTTCCGCGTAGGCTGGAGCGTCTAGCTCCTTGTTGCCATAAGTGTATGTTGCTTTAGGAGTCTTCGAAACTGGTGGTTTTGATGGCCCAGCATCAGCATCAGCCATTTTTCCTAGAAAAATGTGCCGTTGCAGGCTGCGGAGGCGGTCTGAATAGCCATTCTAATGGGTGTACGACATTAGAACGTTCTAATCTGTTCTCAAGGGGTCTTCTAACTTTCTCATTAGAATTCTAATTAGTTTAATTCTAATATTATTTCTAACTTCTAATGCGCCTGCAACCCTAATTATCACGGTATCCCCTCATACTGCGCCCGCTCCGCCCCTCTGTGACGCCTCTCCCCTAGGGCCCTTCCTTCATGCAACAGCTTTGAGCACCGCTCGATTGGCGCTCGATTGGCGCTGATGCTGATGCTGCTGCTGCTGATGATGATGCTCGATTGCTGTTGCATGTCTGTCGTTACTCTTGTATAGCTGTCGGTGTTGTTACTGTGTTGTCGCCCCTGTCGCTGCCGCTGTTGCTGTTGTTGTTGTTGTTGTTGCTGTTGCTGTTGTTGTTGGTTCAGCCACAGCTACCTCCTCCGTCACCAGCAAAACCATGCCGTCCATGTCGCACACCGCCCGCCACAAGAACTTGCAAACCGCCTCCTCGTCCTCGAAAGGCTGTGGCTGCTGCAGGTCGCTGTCCAGGTTGTACCTGTACGGCACGCATTGTACTTACGTACTGTCCATGCCAGTACACTTTCACCACCCACCCCAGGCAGGGGAAAGAAAGAAAAAAAGGAAACACAAACGCCGGGTGAGCCGGAAGAGCGGGGCATGCTCCCGCCCACCTGCCCTCCCAGATACCCAGCGCGGGAGGGTCCCGTTTCGCCCCTTTCCAAGTAACCCTCCGCCCCTCCCTGCCAACACGCACTCAGTCACGCACTCACTCTCACGCGACGCACACACACACGCGCACGCGACTCCTTCGTGCACGTGACTCCTCTCGCAATCCTTGCACTCCCCCGTCCTCCCCCAAACACATAACAATGCGTATTCGCCGTACAGATTATATTGGTTACCCTTACCCCCCGAATAATAATAATAATAATAATTAATGTTAATCCCCTCCCTCACTCCCGGCGGGTTCACCACCACCACCAGCTGCAGCAGCAGCAATAGCAGTAGCAGTTGCAGCAGTAACAGAGTTGCAGCAGTAGCAGTAGCAGTTGCAGCAGCACCCAGCAGACTGCTCCACTCACCTAAGACACAGCGCAGGTGGCTGGCGACCTGCCACCCGCCCCCCCCCGCTGCCTGCCTCCCTCTGCCCCGGACCCACACCCACACCCCACACCTGCACCCACATCCCCCCCCGTACCAAGTGCCACCGAAGCGCCGTATGCCAAGCCAGTGCCGGCCCCCAGACCCCAGCGCCTCCCACAGCCGACTCCAGGGGGCCCAGGAAGGGCGCCGGGATATGTTGACCACAAGCCCCCACAGGTTCGCCCCGTTAGCGGATAACACAGAGCTCAGCCGGCCAGGACCAGACTGTGCGGGGGAAAGGGGGTCGCTGCCAGATGCCGGAAGCGACGGCGCCGCCACCTGCGCCGGTGCTGCAGTTTCCGCTGTCGAGCCTCCACCTCCACCACTGATCGCTGGCTCCGGCTCGGTGCTTCTGGGTGGATATAGTGGCGTTAAGGAGTTGCTGGACTGGAGGGTTCTGCTTCCGGATGCATTTGGCATCGGCAGAAGAGATGGTGGCGATGAAAGGCGTGGGGAGCCTTTGGAAGGCGTGGATGGCCGCCGCAGGGGAAGCCATTTCAGAACCTGGGTTGGGGTGCATGTAAGTGGAAGTGTGGGATGGGACGTTAGTTGTGCGGTTGGCCGTTAGCGGTTGGCTCACGCCAGGTAAGCCTCTGGCGTCTGAAGATGGTGGACCACCTGTCCTAGGAAATTGCAGAGGGATTTTGCAAAATGGGATCGGCACATCTACGTGGTGAACTTGCAGATCGCGCTGAGCGCTGGTCAAGTTTCGCAAAAGCCCCTTCAGGGCCTCATCTCATCAAATGGGTTTTGACGGTGAGCGACGCCGTACCGGTTGCAGGTCGAAGCCGGTGTCACCTTGTTGTGTCGCTGCAGAGCCACTTCGAGAACGTTGACATCGTAATTGCCGAGGATGGGCGTCCTTCAAAAACATGACCGATCACGCAGGCAGATGTTGAAGCGCCTCATGTCAGTAAGGAATTCACCGCGTAACAGCTTGGAAAACGGGTATTGTGGAAAGCATTGTCGTACGCTGCACCTTGCAGCGTGCACGGCAGTTAGCTGGAAAGCATAATCCTGTATTCAGCTGTCCTGATACCAATCGAGGCGCTTCGCATTCTATGCATAATACAACGCCACCAACGGTACCTGTGCGGGCTTAGGCCAAACAGATTTTGGGGCGTCAAGGAGTTAGCGATGCAGTCGAGGTCCGATGCTAGGAAAACTTCGCGCTGCAACAAATTGTTCAGAGTGTGCTTGAGGCACATTTGAAGCTTCTGCTTCTCCTGCAAGATGTATAGGGCCCCTGGATGTTAAGCAGCTAATGAAAAGTCATCGTCACGAAACTGGAAGAGATGTGTGCAGCCTTACATGATAGCGTGGATGTTCCATATGTGATAAATAGGTGAAACTGCATTATTGATCCCTCAACGTTTTGCACAGTTGCCCTGCCTCCCATAGTTCTGCATGCCAGCGACATGACAGTTGACGTACGGCGTACGGTGGCGCGAACAACCCTACTTTCAGGCGAGCAAATGCATTGTAGAAGCTGCTTGAGCATACAGCCCTGAGCTAAATGCATCTTCCATTGCATCGCGCGTGACCTCTTCATGTTCTCTCGCTGCTTTCCGTCACGAATAGAGAAGGAAAACGACGAAAGCAAGCGCTTAGGGGTCAGCGTTGGTGCAATGGTGCTGGCAGCTTCAACGAATGCCCCACAGGATCCAAACATTGCCACTCGCGACCATTGCATTTTCGCGTTCGCGGTGCTCCATTCGCACTTGACGGGCAATCCCAGCCCAATCCCGAACTTCCCGGATAGCCGCTGTGCACTTTTTGTTACCTGGAACACGCTCTCCGGCGGCGGGCACTGGAAACTACGAGGCTGCATTGGTACGCTGGAGCCAAAGCAGCTGCACCGGGCGCTGCACGACTACGCGCTTAACAGTAGCCTCAGAGACCATCGCTTCTCGCCCATCAGGTTCAAAGAACTTCCTTCCTTGCAGTGCAAGGTACGGGTTATCTCCCTGGAACCCGCTAACCTTGGTCTGCCGATGCACACCTCGCCTCATCATTCCGGCTTAAAAACAATGTGTCGTCTTTTCCCCTCTGCATAAAGGTCCAAGCCCATCCTCCGGTTCCCTCCCTCGCCCACTTTGAATCGTTTGGAGCGCCCTTCTCTTACATCATAGCTGTGGGGGCCCCTCCTCCTGGCCCCTCGTCTCGCCGTAGGAGTCCTGCAGCGCCCTCGCGACCCCGTACCTGCGCCTCCCCCGTCCCCTCCTCCCACGCTCCCCACTCCCCCTCGTCTAGCGCCTCCTTTTCCTCTCCCAGCCTTCCTCCTCTCCTCTCCCGTTTCCGTCCTCCTTTGATGGCTTGATGGCCCCCAGGTCTCCCTCCTGGCGCGCTTCGAAAAGGGCTCCGGCTGGCAGGACTGGACAGTAGGCGTTCACGGCATAATTATCCACTTCACCGACCCCGACCCAGATGCACGCGGCGCCCGCCGTACCGCCACCTTCCTGCCCGACGTGGCTCCGGAGCAAGGCTGGAACCAGCAGCAGGCTGTAGATGCACTCATCCGGAAGGCCGGCTACAACGGCCCCATAGGACCCAGCTTGCGGGATGCGATCTCTCTGGATCGCTACCAATCTACGATTGCTTCGATAACGTACGATGAGTTTATAGCGGTGCTACAGCAGAAGCAGAAGCAGCAGCAGCTGGAGGCTGCGGAGGAGGAGCAAATAGAGGCATCGTCACCCTCGTCGCGCGATGTGCGGTTGCGGGTGGCAGCATGAGACGATTCCGGCAGCACGCCATTGTCCGCAGGCGGTTAGGGGGCGGTTGTACGGCACCCTGGGGACTGTACTGTACTGCACTGTACTGCACCAACTGGTCCAGGAGTAATTTTCGGAAATTCGGGACTGGGTTGAGGGGGAAAGAGCTCTCATAAGGGAAAGGGACAGCGAAAAAAGACGTGTGAGGAAATGATGGCTTAGATTTGGGAGGAGATGGGGACCCGAGCAGCAGTCGCTCGGTCTGGCAGAAGCCCCTTTTGTGTCGCACAATAAACAATTAGGCGCTAAAGGAGTTCTTGGAAGAGAGTAATATGGGCACATGTGGGATGAGGTGTGTGGTGGGCGCGGTAATCTGGGGGATAGGCGCCACGACGCCGTACTGTGTCCGCATCGCAGTCCGCTGTGGAATTTCTATGCACAGTGTCCCCAAGGCCCTTCCGGGAGCCGTCCAGGGCCCTCCCGGGGACTATGCCCTCGTTCATATTAGGCAAAGGCAACCATGGTGGCGGCAGTGGTAATGGGGCAACACGGGAGTCCGAACGGATCCAATGGAAGGAGCCTTCTTATCTGCCGCTAGGCAGGCGTCCCTGCGCAGGCCCAGTTTTGTGTCGGAAGCAGCAGCAGCAATAGCAGCAGCAGCAGGCGTAGGTGTAACTGTGTGGACGATGAGGATGTGGATGATTTACAAGGTAATGGCATGGGTGGGGGTTATCAGATTGGGTTATGTGGATGTACAATATTGTCCTGTAACCCGTGTGTTATCGGCCTTAGCAAACGTCTTGTAACCCAGACTCGCAGCATGTATGGCTAAGAAGACTGGACTCGGCATCGGCAACAGACGAGGGCCATATGAACCATGTGCAAGGGATTGTCTAGACGTCCTGAATGCGCACCTTTGTGCCAAAAGGCTTGAGCTCTTTGCGTAGCGGGTTTTCACCATATGGGCTCCGTCGTGAGTGTTTTCTTTATGTAGGTTATGCTCAAATGACGTCCTGGGTTTTCGGTACGAGGGCTGTGACGGGTAAACTCTTTCCTGGTAAAACGCTCATCCCTTGTACCTTCTGCATTTTTCACGTATCAATAAGATGAACAGGTTAAGGGAAGATGTATTGCTTCCCGCTTAGATGTCCGTGTCGTCCTAACCTGTACAATTAGCGATTGTTGATGGGGGAGAGACTTTCCTTGCTATGTTTTTCTTTAGGTCGCACTTGCATTATATATTTCTGTTCTATTTAGCACGCCAAGCGCATATCAAATGCTGCGCTAATTCAGTGCTAAGCCGCACTCGCGCGCCGACTGACTCTTTGTAAGAGCTAAGCGAAATGATTGCACCAAAGAAGGGAAACTATGAAGGCAATCCTAGCCACCTACTGCCCTCTGAGCTCATCGACCGCTGCATAGGCTCCCGGATGTGGGTAATTATGAAGGGTGACAAGGAGATTGTCGGCACTCTCAGAGGCTTTGATGTATATGTCAATATGGTGCTCGAGGACGTCACGGAAATTGAGGATTCGCCCGAGGGCAAGAAGCTGACCAAGCTGGACCAGATCCTTCTTAACGGAAACAACATCGCCATTCTGGTGCCTGGTGGAAAGCCAGACTACTTGTGAGGACTGCGAAATTAGCATCGCCATGAACCCAAGGTTGGGTCAGCGTGGCTGGAACTGTCCTGTGGGCTCGTTGGGGGGTGAGGGGTCATTGTGTTGGCAATTATTTGCACAGACGGTGGCCACAAGCCGTTGATGACGGCACCTTACACGCTCCGCTTTTTGCACGCGCCCTAGTGAGAGCGGCGTGGCATCCGACTGTATGTTTAATGTGGGTGGACGTGGGAGGGGCCTCAGTTGCCAAAGCGGCTTAGTGTTTCGGTAAATGTGTTTCACGCTCTCGGCTCCAATATCCGAATCACTGTAAGATTTTATTCGATAACTACACGGCTGTGTCATTCACAATCGCCGCCCTGCCAACTTCCCTCCACGGGCGAGGACACAGCCACATTGCGTTAAATCCGCTCTCGAAGGGACTGAGTTCATTGCAGTCCCCGCCGTCACGCAGCCACTACAACCACCGGGCCACCTGCCCCAACCTTACCCAACTTGTTCAAACCATCTCCTTCGCAACGCCTCTCAGTTTGCGCTGCCATTAGAAGCCGGACCAGCGGACTTCTTATCTTGGCTTGGCCTTGTCGCTGCGCTGCTGCGCCCTCCTCAGACCCTACATTTATATTTGCATGCTTTTCCTAACATGGCCGTTCGAACATCTAACCATCTGAACATCTGACCACCAGAGAAGCAACTCTTAAACGTTTTGTATTCATACGGCCTGGGTGCCGTACATCGTACCTGGTTTCTTTTGCGGGGGTCACTGCGTCTAGCCCCCCGTCCATTGTGCGGGGGGGGGGTGTCCCGGAACTGCGATCACATATCCTTTCTAAACGATATCTAACCACGTAACGCACCTAGCGCATTCCTCTGACACCATCGTAAGCGCGGAAAGCATCCATTTGACTGTCGCTGTGCAACCCTAACGCCCCGGACTAAAACAAATGAATGCAAAACGCAACACACTCATATTACTCACACATGCACAGGTACGCATTACTCACACATGCACAGGTACGCAAAGGTATGTAGTGCTAGGTGACGGGGCCAGCTTACAGCTCTCGCCGACGGGAAGCTAGAAGCTAGAGGCATAGACCCCCCTCCCTCCTTAATGCGCCCTTACATCCCTAAAAACCATAAAACCCATCACACGAAGCGCCAGCAGCCCAACAACGATCAATCAATGCTCCGGCGCCACCACCAGGGGCCGCTACCACCAGCGACCGCGACCATTCACTGTAGTAACCTCTTATGCAATGGGCCTGTCAGGGGGCACCACAAAGCCGACCCGACTATAATATGGCAGTAATAACAATAACATACGATTTCTCTCTGTTTCTGTTCATCAACCCACCGGGGGAACACTCTTCTTTCCCCCAATACCAAGAAGAGCTACGATACTGCTACGATACTGCTACGATAACAATAACATCATTGATAATAAGGCAACAATATGGCTTTGCACACACCATCCGTCAATCCTATAGCTAATCACCCGACATGTTATCTGTTGCAGCTGCTGGTCATCTAAAACCTGAACCTCGGAGGTTCTGAAACAAAAGATTTGAGGTGTTACAGGACCAGAGGGGTGGGTGGCTATCCCACCACCCCCTAACCCCACGCACATGGGCCACCGCGCTCAGCCGCGCTCAGGTTATTATCACAGCCAAGCAAGCGCAACGAGGCATCCACAACCTGCACAAGCCCTGTGTCCCAATCTTCTTCCCCCTTTCCGGGCCAATGGCGGGAGCTGTTCGCGAGCTTATTACACAAACATACGTATTCCCACACTCGTATACGCATACATGCACACGTGCACATCGCAGCACGTGGAACGTGCCAACAGAGACTCTGCCCACTCTTTCCCCTGCCTACCTAACGCCCGTATGCAGCTCTGCCCTAAGGCTCTTCCCATCCCCTAGCCCACGCCGCGCTTCCCCGCGCCCTACATATGCGCCACGTACGCCGCCGCACATGCACCGCCTCACCATCCTTGGCTCCACTTTCCGCGGACCCCGATGGCCCCACCTATCCAACCCAGCAGCCTAGCAGTACCAAGCAGCATCTCCTACCTACCTACCTACAAGAACAGCAGTCACCGCCTTGCCAGGCCCTGCACCGGCCTCCTCGGCAACCTGCGCATTTCACTTCGTGCGGCTTTTCGCGCCGCACTTCGAGAGAGCAACAGCCTACAGCAGCACCCCTGCTCCCTGCTCAACCCTGCGCAACCCCTTTCTTTCTATCGCTCCTTCCTGCCGCAATACCGTCACCAGCAGCAGCACCACCAACACACAGCCAGTAACACCACCGCAGCACACAGCACGCCACCCATCCTCAATCCTTTGTAGTGACTTGCCCCTCAGCAACGACGAGGTGCGATGCGAACTTGCGCTCGTCTGCCGGCCGGCGAGGTACCAGCGGCGCAGGTATTCCCGCCAGCGCTGCTCCCGCCTCCGGGACAAGCCTGGGAAGAACCCGTTTGCCTCGGTACTCCAGCCACAAGTCGCCAACCTGCAATCGTCATGACACGAGGTCGCGCGGACAGGAGCCGCAACCAGCCACAACCACATGAAGACCAAAACATGGCGGTTATGGCAGGCGTGTATGACAACAGATGGTGGGTACGGATTCACTGCAGACATACCTTTTTTTTCTTCTTCCTTAATCTCCTGAACTCCCTATACCCCAAGCAACAACCACCTCATCCAGCACCCCACACCCTTTCGCGCCTTCACCCATCACGCGCTGGAAAAGCAGCACCTTCCCACGAGCAACCCGAACACAAGCCGCGTGCGTACCTTACTGCCGCCCTCGTAGGGATTGCTCGACTGCTGCAACGTCTCGTACAGTCCTGCCCGACCTCGCCGCACCTCCGGCCCTTCCGCTCGCGCCTTGCCCTTGGCATCCAGCCAGAGGTCACCCACGGGGGCCCCAGGCGTAGGCGCGGGGGGCGGCCGGCCCTCCCCAGGCGCACGCAGCACGTCTGAGAGGTCGCGGCGACCTCTGCGTTGCTCAGGGCCTAGGGGCTTCGCTTTCCCTCGAGCCTCCAGCCATTGATCGCCGCCTGAGGGGGATCCCAAAAAGGAAGCAAAAACACATATATGCGTGTGTGTGTGTGTGTTTTACACCCCCTGGAGTCGCGTTACTGCACAAAGGTATAACGGGCGCTGAGGGGGCAAAAGGACCAGCAACTTAGGGCTGTTCGAAATAGATAGATCTCGTAAAAACTCATAAGGAAAACTATATTATTATTATCTTATTATATTATTATGGAATTATCTTACCGCTCAAATAGGAAAATTATGGGTGTTGGGTTGGGGTTAAGGATAATGGCATGACCGTGATCAGGACGACGCCACGCCACACGGCATTTAACCTTCTTACACGCCGTGTTCTCACAAGCCCACCACCCCACCACCGCCCCAGAGAGCCATCTAGGCTTCTCCAGGCGTGTATCCCCCCTCCAGGCACAAATACGGGTCAAACCCTAAAGTGCACATGCCGCATGTCGAGGCAGCGCCGCCGGCATGGCAGGTACTGCGTGACCTCACGTACACCCCGCGGCACGCCAAACTGCCTGGCCCGCACGCCTCACGCACTTTTACCTGTGTAATTCTCCGGTTTGAGATGGCACGTGTGGTGCACCACGTCAAAGAGGTCCTTGCGACCTCGCAGCTGCTCGGGCCCCGGCAGTATGCGTTTGCCCGGAGGGACTTCCGCCGCCGCAGCATCGTTTGTGCGTGGGTAATCGTAGTGGTCCATTACCACACGGCTGACACACATCTGCCGGGTGCGGGAGGAGCGGGGGGGGGGGGGAAGACAAACCACGAACGAGTGAAGCTGCTGCCAAGGAAAGCGTGTACAAGGAGTAGGACTGACCTTTTTTTTTGAAAGGCGTTCTTGAAGTTGAGGAGGGGGGAAAGCGCGGGAGAGAGCGCGGGAGAGAGGGGGATTCGTACAATGCACTAACCCACCACGGAACAGATGCCGAAGACGTCCAAAAAACACTGAAGACGGTGGGACGGACGGCCCTCACGAAGCAGAGGGCACCGCGGGGAAGAGGAACCTAAAAGGACTGCATGAGACCGAGACCAACAGCTGCAAGAAAAACTTTAAACACACAAGCGCCACGCAAAAGCCGCCCCAAGGGAACGCGACGCGATGTCGTACCGGATTGCTCGAGTTGGGTCGTACGACGTAGGCCCCCATGCCGTCGTTGCAGTGCCCAAACGGTGTCGCTCCGACCGCCAGCTCGCCCCAGCGCCGAGTGTCAAGCGTCTCCTTGCCGAGCCAGCTCCCGCCGCCGACCTGCGACCCGGCCGAGGCACTTCGCGGCTGGCTGCTGCTGCTCCTGCGACCGGTGCCAAAGGAGCCGCCGCTCATCATTAAGCGCTGCTCGTACTCGCGTTTCAGCACGTCGCGCTTTAGCGGGTCCCGGATGTCGCCTGGGTGGTTTCGGAGGCCGGAGATGTCAACAGTGAATGAGGGGTAAGTAACCCTGACTCCAAAAAGGAGCTCTGGAAAGCCAAGAACCGGCAGAATGCGCCATTGGGAAGGGTGGGTGGGTGGGTGGAGGGTGGAGATGGTTGGGTGGAGGGTGGGTGACCGGGGTGAGCTGCGAAATGGGACCGGGAGGGGATAGGGGTGAGGGGAACTGTAGGACTGGGTGGCTGTGTGGATTTGACCCATGGGTTCAGAGAGCGGACGTGAAAGGCAAACCGGTCGGTGGAGGTGGTCAGTGACCATGACCCATGGGTCAGTGGGCAGAACCCTGTTACCCACATCTGTTTAAAAAACTAAAAAAAACGCAGCCGCACGCATACGCATACATACATACAAACACACCTGTGGGTATCCGAATTGCCGCCTTCGCTGCCGTCAACGGGTTATAGTCCTGCTCGATGATCACATCCCGGAAGACCCCCACTTTCGTATTGGTGGTGTGCAGGTACTGGTCGTACTGCGTCTTCAAACGCGACTCGATGGCGGCCGGATCGCGCTCGTCGAGTGCCGACTGCAACCGACCCTGGAGGGTGTCGAACACTTTTGTCTCCCACTCCTGATGCAATGATTCTTTCTTCTTGCCACGGACCTGGAGGCACGGCCCAGGCAGCAGAAGCGGCAAAGCAGGTGAGAGAGGCCGTGTACGGGGGGTTGGGGAGAAGACTCCATGGATGGATTGTTGGGTTTGTAGCAGCTTTGCCTCTTACCAGGACTGTACGACTGGTCGTTGACGGTTGTCGTTGACGCACCAAGCCCACGCACCACACGACGCTCTGCTCGTGCGGCCGCGTCCTCCAGCCACAAATTTCCCTACGCCCTCCTTTTCCCTCACCTTTTCAGTCTCTTGTCCCCGGGCCAGCCATCTCCATGAGGAGGCTTTACGGGTTTTCCCGCCACCTTTTCCCGCCACCTTTTCCCGCCACCTTTTCCTGCCACCCCTCACCCAGGGTTCCCGCTCGCTTTGCCCACTTTGGACCACTCTTGGTTCTCTATCTTTGACCAACCCCACCCAGTCCATCCAGCCCGTTCGTTTCACGGGGTAGAACACCGTCATGATGATCCCTCCTGCCAATACACACCACGGCTCCGGATTTCGCACACCCCAAAGTCAAACCCCCTTTTAGACCCCTAGCCGGTTAGGAAGAAATCCCCCCTCCTCCCTCCCTCCCTCCCTCCCTCCCGCCCACCTCCCTCCCTCCCACCCAGCTCCCTCCCAGCTCCCTCCCTCCCTCCCTCCCGCCACAGCCACCGACCACCTTTACACCATCTGTAATCTCATCCCCCCATCCCCATCTTCTTCACTACATCATCCCGAGGTCGCCGTCTTCAAGAACGCCTTCTGGACAGGCCTGCTTCTGGTACACTCTCGCCCTGGCAGCAGCTTCACTCGTGGTTCGTGGTTCGTCTTTCCCCCATCCCCAACCTCCCCAACCTTCGGTTTACCTTGGTCGCATGTGCCAACGCCGCCTCCGCCTCCTTAACAGGCCCCTCAGGCGCCGCCATGCCAGATAGGACGTCCCTCAGCAAAGTCCCCAACTTGGCGTCACTGCGCTGCATCTCCAACTCTCGCCGCCGCTGCGCATGTGCGTATGTGCCAAGAGCCCCGAGCGAGGTGCACGGGAAACCCAAGCGAATCAGACGATACGTGTGTGGCGTAGGACACGAGGGCAAGGGCAAGGGCGAGGACGAGGACGAGGGTGATGGCGGGGGCGAGAACATCATGGCTAGGGCTGTAGGAGCATTTACGTCAGCACGAGGATACCTTTCCACAGTCTATCACAATCTTGTCTTTCCAAAGTTGTCCCCCAACGGGGCCCCCGTTAAGCGCCGCCTTCCTTGCAGCAGCGCCGTATCATCTCACCTGCCAGAGGGCCTGGGTCCCCTACCGCGTGGCTCGCCTTTTCCCCGGTTGCAAGATGGCTGATCGCGTTTGTGCTGAGGCCACGGCACAACACGGGGCTTGCCGCCGGGCGGCCCTCTTCCAAACCCCCGCCCGCTGGCTGCGTAGTGCTGCCGAGCTGGGCCCCCCACCCCAAGGCCCCCCAGCCTTCTCAAGACTCTTCAACGCTCATCCAATTCCGTTCCATGGCCTTTTCCGTTTCTCAGCTTCGGGATGGCTCCCTGGTTGATTGCAGGTCGTAAGGCCCCTTTTCCCCCTTCCCCCCGGAATCCTACCTGGACTGAGGAGAGGAAGGCCGCCTCCTGTCGCGCCATCTCCGCCTCCCGAATGGCCCGCTGCTGCTGAACCCGGGTTTGCAAGGAGTCCGCGCCCGCCTCCTCAGGCTGCTGCCAGGGACTGGAAAAAGAGGCAGCAGCAGGATGAGCGTTGTCGGCATCGTCAGCAGCGGCATGAATGGTGCTAGTGAAGAAGCTTTCAAACACGGCAGTGGCAGTGGCAGTGGCAACGGTGTCAGCACTAGCCGTAGGAGCTCGGGACATGATCAGCGGCAACAGGGTGTAGGGTGCGGTGTGGGAGCAAGGTGGAGCCGGCGGCTGCTATCGTGCGGCCTGCATGCTGTTAAGAGCATCTGCAGTCAAAAAGTGATGCTTGGGGGCGCCGTACCTTCGAGGGGCGCCGGGCGGGGAGGAAGAGCGGTTCTGCGGGCAGGGGGATGCGCAGGCAGATGGGGAGGGGGAAGGATGAGGAAGGTACGAGGGACAGGATGGTATGGCTGCGCAGATGAGGGACCATTGACGTAAAGTGTTCAGTTTTACTGTGTGGAATACAGACGTGTGTCAGGCGAGGTGCGGAGCAAAAGAAGAAGGAGGGTATTATAGATTGCTGCCGTTTTGGTGCGTTACTTTGCGGTTGGTTTCGGTGGTGTATTGCAACAAACAAAGCAGACGACGTGTATGCATGCAGGCTCCTGGCAAAGACAGTTGTTAAACGCGCCAGGGTTGGGTAAGGGTTCAATTCAAGGCCATGATGAGGCAAGCACTGGTGTAAAGCCATCCCATCAACCAACTGTGGGCCGCGGCAAAGGGACAACTGACGCGCGCACACACGCTGGGTCCTTAGAGTCCCACCATTTCTTCTCGTAATGACTTGGATAGGTTATTCCCTTCTTGCAAAAGGTCGTGCACGACGAGCGAAGGTGCATACACCCTTAGCCGCTCTGGAACTTGCCGTTGGCCTACTAATACTTGAGAAGCCATTTCCAAGGATAGCAGCAAAGCACGAGTGTGAGAGTCAGGTCTCAGTGGCTTAGAAGCAGCGTGAAAATGAAAACAGTTCTCTTTTCTTCCGACAGCAATTTCTCTTGCCTAAACATAACAACAAATGATCGTGTCTGTGACGAACCAGGCGGAAAGGTGCGACCTACATTTTTTCCAAACCCGTACATAGCCGTACAGAGGTATTTGCCTCTCTGGACTCCAGCGCTGGCGAGCTTTCAATGCAATCACTTATGTAGATAGAATGCCAAGCACGTATGGAACGAAAGCATCAGGCTAGGTTTTGAAAAAATAATATTGTGATCCGTACCTGCGAGGCAACGCTTTGTTGCGTTGGAAACCTGAAGAACGCTTACTGTAAGAGAAATTTTGAAGTCAATAAGGCCGCGCTCGTGAATGTTGTCGGGTGTGTGCTTCACAACAGGTCAGCAGCTCAGGCTGCTCGCACGGCTATGTTGTTTTACTAGTTATGTATGACATTTGGTACGAGATACATCAAGTTATCGGCTCCTATTGCTGCTCAATCTTGGCAGTTTCACCATGGCTCTCTCTTGACTTTCTTGCCGGGCGCTGAACTTTCGTAAGGGCATCAGATTCCAAGGGGATAAAATTATCTTTGGTTTTGCGATCTATATTATCTTTGGCCCTTTGGGCGCTGAGAATAGGGACAGATTTACCCTCGCTTGGAAGAACCCGGGGCAACCCCTAGCATCGGCCCTTACATATGTGCAGAGCATTTGTGTAAATGTTAAGGATTTGTGAGGCCAGTAGGCCGTGATGGGCCTGTCGAACGGCAAAATGGAGCAGCCGAGTGGAACAGCCTCTCAAGACGGAACCTATGGGTAAGTCTCTTGCTGATCGCAGAATTCCTGGTTGGATGGGCTCCCTGGGATCTTGGTGACGGAGGTAGCCAAGGCTACTTGCGCCGCACCGAGAGAGGAGGCTTTTTGGCCAACCTTGGTTGTGCTTGTCTCCTGAGATTTTGTCGGGCCGGGGGCTTGTTCCAGGAGTCGGAGGGCCAGGCAGCAAAAGATGGAGAGCAGGCTGACAGCACATATGGACTCTGAGGACCGGCGCGTGAAGGAGCTAACTGAGGGAATACTGTATGATTTTCTTCCATCGGCCCTGAACGTGATGCTCCCACGCTGCGAGGACCACCTGCAGGAGCTGGACACGGATCGGTGCCGGGTGGGTTTGCATGGGGGGCTCATGAGCGGGAAGGACTCCCACCTCTAACAACCCTGATGTGGAGCACCTAGCTTGGCGGGCGTGGGCGTTATTAATGCTATTTCCCTTATCATGCGCTTAAAGTCTCGCACTCGGGGGGCCCTGGCCCCCATAATAAACGCAGGCGGTTGCGAGCGCGGCGTTGGCGGTATCGGCGCTAATGAACGCCCCCGCCGGTTTCTTGGAGTTCCTGCTCTGCGTGCCTTGGCGCAAGCTCTCTCAGCTTTACCCCAAGTAAGTAACCCTCCTCCATTTCATCATCACCATCATCATCATCATCAGCAGCAGCATCACCATCATCATCATCATCAGCAGCAGCAGCAGCAGTATGGCCTCCATGGGCTTTCAGGGAGTCCCAACCAGTCAGGGAGACCCCACCGGATATGTCCAGCTAGGTACGACTCACTCAGACAACACGCGCCAGTATTCTTGCTGCGCTTATCAGGAGCTTTCCATTCAATCGGATTACCATTTTAAGCATTCTGCCACCGCGCAAAAATTACGTCGGGACACCTTTTTTGCGCCCTGTCGGGGATTAACCTTCCCAATACGACAGGACACCCAACCTTGCGGCCCGCTCCGATTCAATCGACAAGCTGGTCTCCAACCTGCAAGTAACGGATGAGGAGCGGCGCAAATTGGCGAACACACGGATTGATCCTGCGCTCATGGGCACGGTGCTGGACTTCCTTTATAAGGACAAACACGCGGACAGCGTGCCGCCCATGCTACAGCTCACTCCGGTCAATCCGCTGCAGCCGGTGGGTGGATGCATGGGTGGATGGGTTGCTGTGAAACGCGCGCCGTCGGCGCGAGCCCTGGCTGGGTAGTCACAGCTTGGCGGCAGGGCTGGGGCTTACGTGTCGAACGGAACTGCCGCCAACGCCAAAACCACTGCGACGCTTTGCTTCTCTCCGAAACGGGAATCCGAAGCTCACAATTTTCGGACCGCCAGCCACACACTGGCAGAGGCGAGTGTAGCACCTGCCCGCCTTGCAATTCTACATGGCGCATGTGAACGTGCCTGACCGCGCCCATGCATACACACATGACCTTGTGCACCCATGCGATTACACGCACGCGCACTGCCTCGTCTGGTGCCGCTGGCGGGATTGCGAAAACCCTCGCCCGGTCCGGCCCCGCAGGACGACAAGTCAGCACCGTTAGTGGTGCGTGAGACGGTCGCGGCCGTGCTGGACGGCGCCACACCGCTCCACTGCGCCGCTCTGCGAGGCAACCCAGCCCAGGTGGATCACCTGCTCTACTGCGGCGCAGATCCCACCCTAAAAACTGCAGCTGGAGAGCTGCCGATAGAGTTAGTGCCGGTTTGCGGTGACCGCGCTACAGGAAGCGGCTGCAGCGGCGCGGCCGCTGCCGCTGTCGCTGCCAACGCGGTGGTAGAAGGATCGACCTCGCCGCCGTTGTCGTCGTCGTCGTCGTCCCAACGGAATTGCCGCTGCATGGGCCCGCACGATCAGGAGGTCTGGGAGTGCCGCAGCCGGCTGGCACGCAGCCTAATTGCGCGGCGGTGCTTCTTCAGCTTTGGCGTGGGATTATTTTCCTGGTTGCGGCTGGTGGTGTTTTGCTTGCTGTGCTTGCTGGGGCAAGCAGGCTGCTACACGAGCATCAACAGGTGCGCGTTGCTCCGTACGTACGGCAACCTTACGGGGCCACGGGCCAATGCGCTACAATTTCAACAAGCCTTCCCCGCCGCAGCACGCACTTTCATACACATACTTACATACGCACGCGCACACAACACAGGCCGGCTGATCCAACCACAGAACTCCGTTCACCATCATGCCCGCACCGCACCGCATGCCCAAGGAAGTTAGTAAACCCCCCTTGGGGGGGGGTCTTAACAACCTGACCGGTAACGGTGATGCCCTTTCATTTGCCTAGCACAGGCCGGTGGTGGAGCGGCATATCGACACTCGGCGACAGCAGAAGGTCGCGGCAGCGCGCGCACGTGCGCATGCCCTGGTCACCCGTATGCGCGCCGAAGCCGAGGCGGGGTTGCACCACTTGGAGCAAGCTAAGCGCGAGTGCATGGAGTCGGCGGCCTTCCATCGCGGCCCTCCGGACATTTCCCAGATGTGTTTTACAGACCCCAACAAGTCGTCTCCGCCGCCGCCGCCGCCCATCAGCCAGATTCACGATATTAACTTACATTTGCAGGAGAGCGGCACCAGCAGCACGGGCGAGGAGCTGGCTAGCGAAAAAGCGTTCAAGTGCTTTGTTCGGTCGGTGCATGCGCTGCAGTCTTTGGACCTGCATGGCGACGTGGTGCCGCAGGTCTTTGCGGAGCTGGTGGCGGCGGGGTCGGCCGAGTCTCGGGAGACGCACGTGCTGGAGGACGAGCAGGTGTGTGCGGGTGCGAAGGGGGGGAGTAAGGTGGGCCTTTTCTTTTTTTCGCTGGGTTCGATTGTGTTGATGGAGGAAAAACGCGAGGCGGGACTGGGAGGGAGAAGGGGGGGCATTGGTTGTGCAAAAACTGTTGTTACATGTACACGCATGTGTAAAATCTATCCACTGGTGAAAGAGATTCCCCGGGGCTGAAGGCGTTTAATGAGGGAGGCGGGGAGTTGCAAGATGTGGACAATGCGGTTAGCTACCGGTGTCTTGCTGCCAGGAGGGGGAGGTGGGGAAAAAGCGACGATTAGTTTTTAAGCCTGCTGCTACTGGGCCCCCCTTCCCGTTCTCGCCCGCTCTGCCGCGGTTTTCTCCACCGCGCACCCTGCCCCTTGTTCCGGTTGCCCGACATAACGATCTTACGAGAGCAGGCGGAGCTGTATTCATGTTGGGCGGAGAGCGTGCTGCTCAAATTTCGCGGCTGCACCTGTCCCGGGTGCGCTGCGCTGGCCGTCCAGGCGGTGCGCATGGCGCACATCCAGGCCACTCGCTTGTTCGGGAAGGTGGACCGGGTCAAGCAATCGCACACGGAACGGTGGCGTGCAGTGGGCCAGGTGAGTTGCCCACGGCCGGGGTCACGCCACTGGGTTCATTCATCCTGGTGGAAGGGGGCCCCCGGGCGGAAAACGCGGTTGGTATGTCGGGACGGCTTGGGTTACCGAACGGTCGGGAAGAAAGGGAAGGTGGGGGGCCGCGTTTCTGACATTCTGGTCCTTCCAGGTGGATTGATGTTAGGTGAACTGGGTCGTTTTTCCGCAAACTCTTCACGTGCATGCGCGCGTCCCCGCCGTCCCGGTTCCGTTCCGGCATCGAACCTGGGACCTCAACGCGTCAGGCGCTTGCGCGCGTGGTCTACGTGCACATCTGCTTGCTGTTGGAGACTGAGGCTCAGGCTTCGCCCACGCGGTCACTGGTGTGGCGCGCGGAGCAATGTTTGCGGGAGTGGGACCGGCTGGAGAAAGCGGAGCTGACGCAGGGCGCGGGAGTGCTGGACCCGCGGCATGTGGCGGCTCTGCAGCTCTGGGCCAAAACTGCGGATTCGGATTTATACTTAGCGGAAGCTCTGCACGGGCAATCCATGCCACCAACAAAGACCTTGCAGGTATGTCCAACAGGAGAGCCAGGAGTGTGCGCGGGAAAGATGCCGTTTTGCGCTTCTTACGCTGTAGGATTGTGGGTGGAAGGCGGAGGGTGGAGGAGGAACCTCAAGTCCAGGTTGTGGGGTAGCAATTCTTCCATCATGGCAGCGCCCCGTTGCTTTGATACAAAGGAACAAAAAAAAGGTGCTATAGGACAAGGACTCGAGTGCGCTGATCGTCCAGCACTCCGCTGCCTCCCCGCCGCCCCAGCATTCCTCCTCTCCACTAGATCAAATACGCCGATAGAATCCTCCCCACGACCAACAACCAACGACCAACGACCCGCGCTGTTAAGTCCATGCGCGCATAGCATCCTTTTGGCAACTCGCGTTGTCCATGTCAATGTTGGCATAATGGCCATTTTGCGGGAGGTGCTTATATTCTGGGGAACAAGCAGTGATCTCCACGGCTACAGGAGTCCTGCACGTCAAGTCAAGTGCTTTTAAAAGTCGCCATACACGGCCTTCGCCGCTGCACGGATGATCTGTGTCGCAGGAAGTTGTTCAAGGCGCCGTCATCTACGGCGCCGACAACACGCCCATTTTGGCTCGTCCCGTGAGTGCTGACGTGGTGGCAAGTCTTGAACAGGCCCTCACACTTTCCTCGTTGCCAAGTCCCATGCTGGCCAACATAGTCCGTGGGGTGGTGGCGAATGCGGTGGCGGAGCTGGCGGCGGCGGCGCGGCTGCGGGAATTTGTGGGCACCCGCGGTGCGGCGGCGCTTGGCGGTGCCGGCAGCGGCACGAGTGAGACGGTGGCAGCGCTGACGGAAGCGTTACGCGCTGCGGAGCCGTTTCGGAGTCGCCTTGGGCCGGAAATGGACGCGGCGCAGGAGCTGCACGGGAGGTGGACGCAGCGGGCGCAGGCACTGGAGAAGCTTGAGAGCGCGGTAGAGGAGGTGCGTGCTTACATCACCGCACACCCGCTGAGCTTCTCCCTAGCCGGTGCGGCTGCGGCAGCAGCGGCGTTGGCAGCGTCGACATCGGCAGCGGCAGCGGCGGAGGCAGGGGCAGGAGGGCCAGCGACACGAGCGGCCCCGTGGCCTGGGCCTGGATTGCCGACAGTGACGGCGACGGCATCATCATCAGGGCCGGAGTCGGCGGCAGGTAAACCGGGTGGGAGTGGGCATGGCGCCACGTCCAGGGAGGTGGGCAGCGGCGGTAGCGGCGGCGGGGAGAGTAGCAGTACTGGCGCAAGCAGCAGCGGGAGCGGCGGTGCGACGGGGACGGCGGCTGCGGCATGCGGGGAGGGGACGCTGGCTGCGGACCTGGCGGAGTGGGACCGACGTATGAGACAGCTCGAAGCAGCAATGAACGACGCAAAAGATGCCAACATTAGTGTCACCAAGGTGGGTTGATCATTTGTCCGTCCTTTGGGAGGAGTCTTATGCGAGAAGAAGCAAAGGGGCAATGGCTGACATGCGTGGTGAGGGGACGAGGCTCGGTGTTGGGTCCTTTGGTTAATAACGAGGCTGCCACAACGATTTTATACATTAAATGGCGTTGAATTGCGAGAATTGCGAAAATTGAGAATTGTGGTTGCAGTTCTCGGGTAGAGGAAACGTCTTGTGCCAAAAAAGTCCTCTCGGGTGACCTCTGTGTTTGAAACCTTCCGGAACCATTCCCTGACTTGTTGCCAGTACATAGCCCGGAGTGCGTAAACGGGGCGCAACGCGCCCGAGCATAGCGTCTCTAGCGTCTCTTTCCACCAGGGGGTCGCCTTTGTCATGCAAACTTGCGGATAGCTCGCACCACATCAGCATTGCCTGTGTTTGTTTACGTAGTGCATAGCTGTTGAGGCGCGCAGGTTTTTCTGCCCGTAGGCAAAACGACTGGTGAAGGAGATGACGACCGTGGCGGCGGCTGCGGAGGCCTCCCGGCAACTGGAGGCCGTGATGGCCCGGCGGCCCTCGGGTCCCATGCAACTCAAACTGGCGCTCAACAAGGCCGAGGCGGCCGCTAGCACCCTCGGCAGCCTTGGCGGTGCGCCCCTGCCCGGTCTCGCGGATGTGCTGGGGCCGCTGGTCGCAGCGGCGCGGCGGCGGCTGGACACGGAGCGAGCAGCGGAGGCGCTGTCCAAAGCTGCTGCGTCATACCGCACCCTGGCGGATTTGGCACGTTTGGAAGCGGCCATTTACAATGCCAAGAAGGTGAGGGGGATGTGGGAGAAGTTGTTCGCAAGAAGACGTTGATTTATATGGGGAAATGGCGGGGCATGGGTCCTTTTAGCTTGAGGGAGGTTATAATTTGGGATCTGCACGACAGCAGCAGGTGTTGGTTGTTGTGGGCGGGGGGCGTTGCGGACAGGGTTTGGTTCTGGAGCAGGCCGGAAATACAGGGTCCTAACTCCCGGATCCGGGAACCAAGGGACCTGGAAAGAGAGTTGGATCTGACTGGTGTATAGGCCTTTCCGGATAGGCACCCTGATAGGCATCTCGTTTTCTTTTATAATGAATCAGTCGGGATGACGGATGACGACCGCGGGCATGGGCGGACGTTTACAGCCAGAGCGTAGCGCAGAGCACTGCTAAGACCATTTCGCTGCCTTGTGTGATTTTCTGCGTCTTCCTATCTGGATCCTGCACCTCCTGCACCAACGTGTGCCTTTCCATGCACCGGTTCGGATATGCCCTGCGGTTTGGCCCGTAGATTGGTGCGGAGGAGCTGGATCCGGAGTCGTACCGCACCTCCCTGGAGCTGCGCGCGCACCTACAGGAAGCGGCACGAATGCGTACGACATTAGAGACGGCGCTCCGGAACCTGCAGAACCAGCTGCGGCCGGAGGACGCCGAGGTGCTGGAGCGGGCGCTGCAGGTACGCTGCGCTTCATACGCGCTCGCTCGATGAAGGGACGGGGAGGTTTTATGAAGGGACGGGGACGGGGAGGGCATGAGGAAAAAATCAGCCGCGAGCAGAACAGAGCTCATGGGTACCCTCAGCGCTCGTATGAGCTTTCATTACACCTTTGAAGCGTAACGCAACTGGGGATGTATAACACGCACACAGACGCACAGACAGACATATGCTGAAGCTCCAACACCTTAACTTCTTGATTGGGTGGGACGTCGTATCCTCTGAACCTCGTTGGTGAAATCCTGATGCAGCGCCTGCAACGATCTTATCGTCCCATGTCTAGCGACGGAAATGCTGGAAATCGGCACGAACTCCTGCAGCTGCTGCTCTCTTTCTGCTCCTGCTCCCGTCTTTGCTGCTGCTTACTGCTGCTGCTTACTCTGTTTGCCGCTGCTGCTGATTTTGTGTACCTCTTTATCGGCAATCTCGGGCCCTCAGGACGCGGCTAGGTGGGAGGATTTGCTGGCCCCGGATCTGGCCAGGGCCCGCAAGGCCCTGGAGCACTGGCGAGCCATGACTGTCAGCGATGCCAAGCTGGCCCGGCTGCTGCGGGAGGGGGCGAGTACGGGAGTCCTGGCGCGGGCAATCCAGGTGAGTCCCGAGTGATTTATTGCTGAGACGCTTGGGTGTCGGGGACCGGGGGCTGGCGAGCTGGCGAGCGGGTCCGTTTGGTTCTCGAGAAGCTGAGACAACGGCGGGCCGTGGGGCGTGGGGCGTTTCTTGATCTGCTGCGCTTCGGGGGAAAGGGAGAGAGCGCGAAAAAGGGAATTTTCGTCGGATATGCGTCGGATCTTTCAGGTCGGTGGGGGCCTACCTCAATCTCTCACCCTATATGAAGCGACAGGGCGGGGACGGACGGCAACGGGAAGGAGTGGTCTGCCTGTTTTGCGCCTTCCCCCGCAGGTTGTGGCATAGGTAAGTAACGGTCGCAACGGCGTCTCATCTGACAGTGTCTCATCCTTAACCCCGCTGAACCGGTCCACCTGAGGTCCGCGGCCCGATTACATATAATGACGACTTCGGTGGGGAGCTACTGGTTCCCAGACCTGGCACTCTAGCTGCTCCGGTGTTTTAACAGAATATTCCATGGGTTCCCGCTTCAGCTGCACATCATCTTCTACACAATCTTGCCGGAAACGGCAGAAGTCGAGTTTTTTGACATTGGACACTGTTAACGACGTCTCGAGGATGACTTTTAAGGTTCCTCACGACATGTTGGAATCCTTCTGACCCTCGCACAGGAAGCGGCCGCCTCGGGCGTTAAGGTCCAGCAGGCCAAGCGCGTGCTGAAGCTGATGCAAGCCCTGGAGACGGTGCTGGCTGGCGGCGGCATCGACGGCGGCGCGGCTGAGCGCTACGCTGCCGTCAAGGCCAAACTGGAGGCTGCGGAGCTGGGCGGGGTGACGGCGGGACCGCTGCCGGATGCGGCGCGGCGGATGCTGGCACGGCTGGCGGCGCAGATTGCACGGGAAGCGCTGGAGGCTGCGCTCAAGCCGCATTCGGACTGGTCGATGGCGCAGCGGATCAGCGTATTGAGGGACGCGTTGGAGAAGGCGGAGGGTGTGCTGGCGGCAGCGGCCAATGAGCAGCAGCAGCAGCAGCAGGAGGAGGGAAGCGACGGTAAGGCTTCGTCGGACGCGACGGCGGCCGCGGCTACAGCTATCGCTACCGCTGTCGCCGTCGGCGTGACTGGAACCCAACAGGAGCAGCACCAAACTGCACCAAAGCTGTCAAATGCATCAGCTACGGGAAAGACGTCACGCGGGAAGCGCTGCAGTGGCAGCAGCGTTACCGTTGGCGGTAGCGGGAGCGACGGCAGCGGCGGCGACGCGCCTGCGTTGACAGGCACTGACGACGCCGCTGGTGCCTCGGAGCCACCCACGCCTTCCACGCTGGCGAGCAGCAGCGGCAGCATTAGCAGCAGTAGTAGCAGTAGCAGCAGCACCAGCAGCGGTAGCAACTGTTGCGGCGGCGGGTCGTCTGGTGGAGGAGGGAGCGCAGATGACGAGGTTCTTGGGGCGGTAAGGCGGGTGGGAGGGGCTGAGGGGGGGAGGGGCCCCGCGGGTTTGGGACCGCCTTCCGCTTGTAAAAGACATGCATGCAGGACAGGCGGTGCCGTGCTGTGCTGGGAACCACTCCCGTACGTTTTGCGTGGGTAAGCCAGGATTGCAATGTTTGTAGGACGTGTCCGCGTTTGTTTGTGACGTGCAGCACGCCTTTAATTTCACAAGACACATTCACAGGAGTGTATTTTTTTCATGCGCCAGGAAACCCAACCCTTCGCTGCCGCAGCCCACAAGCCGCCTCAGAGGATGCTGTAATGATGTAACAGGAGTTTTCCTCCCTGAGGTGCTCCCCTGGGGTGGCGCAGCCCTGGCATATATGCGGGCTTAACAGCGCTGTTTCTTGCTCTTTGAAACACGCTGTATCTGCGGGGAGAGGCTCTGACAGAACTCCTGGTTTTTGGTTGAACTATACTGCCCTCTAGGCTCTTTCTTCCCCGCCGGGCGTTGGCATCTTGGCGGCACTGGATGGGCCTGGCCGGCCCTGGATGGGCCTGGGCCTGCCTGGGCCTGGCCTGGCCGGTGGCCCTCTATCGCCTCTCCCCTTTAGGGCTCTGTGTTTCACATCTAACGTCCCCTAATGCTGCCTGCTCCCCGCGTCCTCCTCACGGCAACCCCGCGCCTCGCTCTCGCTCTCCCCGCATTCGTTCGCAAATGCCCGTATTCAGGTCCGGGAGCTGGTCCGGAAGGCTCGCCGCGTCCTTGAGGAGGACCAGGCGGAGATGGCTCGCATCGAGCGGGAGCGTCAGGAGGCGGATCGCGCGAAAAAGGAAGCCCAGGAGCGCCAGCGGCAGGAGCGCCAGCGGCAGGAGCAGGTGTGTTGGGAATCGGTGTGTTATCTGTTTTTATGTACGGCAGTACGGCTGGCAGCGAAGATCGTCAGTAAAGGTGTCGTCCGGTGTGGATTGGGTTGGGATGTGGTCTCTGGTGGGACGTATTTGCGTGCTTGGCGCGGGGACACGCGTAAGGCCCAGCTAGGGGCATGATGGGGCCGAGTATGTTTTTTTACGGATTGGACACATCTCCGTGCCCGGGGGTGAGGCTCGGGTAGTGCGGCTAGGTGAAGGCGGACTACTATAGCCGTCCAGTGGGTCCTCCTTGGGTTGTGGTAGAGTGGTGGGCGGCAAGCTACGTGATAATGGCGATGCATATGATGGGGCGATAGCTGTGTGTGTGGGAGGGGGGGTAGGGAAGGAGGGATGAAGTGCACACAATGAGGCGTGCCGTTTTATTGTTCTTTGCTTTATTTATTGTTGCTTTTTGCGTGGTTTGCGCAGGAACGTCAAAAGCGTGAGAAGGCCGAGGCGGCGGAGCGAGAGCGCTTGCAGGCTGAGAAGCGCGAACGCGTGCGAGCGGAGAGGGCGCGGCAGCTGCACCAAAATCAGCAGCACCAGTCTCAGCACCAGCATAAGGCCAAGGCTCCTGCGGCAACGGCAGCTGCGGCTGCGGCATCGGACCCTGGCTCGCTCGGTGGGCCTGAGAAGGGCGGCAAGGCCTCTGCTCCGGGGAGGGCTGCTTCCGGGAAAGGTGCTAGCACCCACCATCATCAGGGCAGTGGGCCCAACGGCGGGGGAGGCAATGCTCGCTCCGGGTCGGCTTCCATCACGGTTTCCGCAGTCGCCATGGCGGCGGGAAAGGCGGGCTCCGCGCTCCGAGAACCTCAGGTGTTGCCGCAGTTGGCGGCTTCGGCGGTGATGGCAGCCGCCCGACACCAGCCATCAGCACAATGCCAACAACAACATCAACAACATCAACAACAACAACATCAACATCAACAACAACAACAGGTATCCGCTGTCACGACCGCGGCGCAATCCTCCGCTGCGGCTTCTGCTGTTGAGGCGGTTCCCGCGGGGGACCAGGTAGCAACGTCAGCGGCTTCGGCGGCCGTATCCTCAGAGTCTTTCGATCCGCCTCCCACCACCGTGTTCGTAGACCCGCCGCAATCCGCCGCCATCGCTGACCCTGGAACCGCCTTGGGAATCTTTGCGGTGCAGTTGCTCAGTGCGAACGACGCTGCCCTGCAATCGTTAACGCATCAGGCTGCTGCAACGAACAACGTCGTCGACGGAGCAATCGTGCCGGCATGCCTACCCCCCAACGCCGTGGCTGCCGTACATACCCGCGGAGACTCCATGGGCAGCCTCAGCGAGGTTGTACGGAACCTGAATTTGGACGTCATCGAGGCACTGGATATGGATCATGACGTCAGCTTGTCGTGCGCTTACTCGCCGCTTGACGCTGGTGCTGTGGAGGCGACCGTGGCCGTCGCCTGCGGCGGCTGTGGCGACAGCGGCACACCTGCCGACGGTGGCGGCAGCGGGGGAGGGTCGGTCACTCGCACCATGTCAGGCGTGACTGCAGCCGCCGAGAGCGTTTTGGACCGTACGCCTAGTCAGCGCACGTCCTCTGTCATGAGCTCGGTTGCATCCGCAGATGATGATATGCTGCACAGTGCCGCCGGCGCGGCGCGCGCATGCTCGGTTGCTGAAGTGGGCGGTGGCGGTGGTGGTGGCTGCGCCTTGGGCTCGTTGTCCTCTATTTCCTCGGGCCAGCCGGGCGCCAGTAACGCCAGCTTGGAAGTCTCCTCGCTGACGTCGCTGTCGGCTACTGCCAACTCAGCTACAGCCGGGCCTGACGGAACAGCTGCTTGTCGGGTGGCGGCAGCTGGGGCCGCCGGCCCCGTCGCTGGGGGCCCGCTTGGCGGCGGCGCTGGAGCTAGCAACAGCAGCAACGGGAACGGCGGCGGTGCGGCGGCCAAACCGCGATTTGGCTTAGTGGATCTGGGTGGCGCTAGCTGGGGCTTGGATCCTAACCCGGTGCTCACGGGGGTTTCCGTACGTACGGCATCACTGTTTGGTTCGCTGCAGCCCTCTATGGGATCTTCCATGGGGGAGTTTGGTTCCATGCTCTGCGCTCCGAAACCTGATGCAGGCGGCGGCGGCTGGGCGGCTGCGCCGTTGGGTGCCGCCGTCGGCGCCATGCTGTACAATGGTCAAGCTGCCGTACAGGGCTTGCCCGTTGGGGGCCCAGATGACGCCGGCAACATGCTGGGTTCCGCCGCCACTGTACGGCACGTGCTTGGCGGCAGCGGCGGCGGCAACGGGATGCATGTCCGCATGACTGATGCGTCCTTTTCGAGCCTAGTTCCCGTACACGCTTCACCCCGTACAACCGTGGCTACTGCTAGCACGTCCGTTGATGGCATCTTGCAGGTACGGCCACTAGGCGCGGGGGGTATGCCCGGTAACGCGCCACCTCTATTGCAGCTGGCGCCCACGGTCGCTGCGGCCGCCGGCAGCGGTGGCAGCAGCGGCAGCGGCCGGTCAAGCCTCCACCTGGCGATGCCGCTGCAACAGCCTCAGGTCAGTAACGGCGCCGGCCTTGCACCTCGGAGCGGCTATTGGACCCCGCCCTCTTGCCAAGCGCCGATCGACATTCCCAGTGACGGCGCCGCCGCCGCTGCCACCGCCGCCGCCGCAGCTTCAGCCTGTAACGGCGGAGCGCCGTCATCGGGAACCATATCGTCATTGCAGGTCGGTGGTGGCGTAGGCCTGCACCATCTGAGCTTGGGCACTTCGCCTGTAGGCTCAAGTTTCCAAATGCTGGATTGGTCGTTGTCGCAGCAACACCAAAAGCTACAGCCTCAGCTGCCGTCACCGCCACCGCCACATCAGCACCTGGACGGAGGCCTGCAGCTGGTTCATTTAGGCGGCGGAGGAGGAGGAGGAGGGGGGCCGCCGACGGCTGGTGGCAGCGGCGGTGGCGGCAGCGGCGTGCAGGTCCTGCGCAGCGCCGGCGGCACCGGTGCTACCGGCAGCCGCATTTGCCATTTCTTCCTATCGGGCTATTGTCAGAAAGGCGAGCGTTGCCGCTTTCTGCACCACATCCCCGCGCCTGCCGCGGGGTCCCCTTTACCATCAGCGCACGTCGCCATCAGTGGAGGCAGCTCGACGGTACTTCAGCTGGGGCAGGGCTCGCCACCGCCGCCGCAGCTGTCGCCGCATCATCTCCGCGGCCAAGTGGGCTGCTTTGGGGTCTCAGGCGGCATGGGGCCCCCTGGCGGGAGCGGCGTTGGCGCGGGTGCTGGTGGAGGCGGTGGTGGTAACGGAAGCGGCGCGGTGGGAAGCTTTGCGTTTGGGGTCCCTGGCGCGGAGGCCTTTGCACCTCTGGGGCCCGGTGGCGGCGGCAGGGTGTCGCGAGCCAGCACCGGCATGGACTCAGGACCGAGCGGACAGCCTGCGGCGGTAGCAGTTGCGGAGCAGCAGCAGCAACAGCAGCAGGTGCTGCTGCTGTCCTCCAAAAGGGCTTCAGTGAACCATTTACGCCATAACGGCGTAGCGGCGACTGGACCTCCAGGTGGCGCCGGCGTGATGTCCGGAACGCCGTTGGGCCTTATCCTGATGGACAGAAATCAGCCCGGGCCCGTAGGAGGAGGCCTGTCAGGGCCCGGCAGCAGCAGCAGTAGCGGTGGCGGCGGCGGTAATGGCGAGGTCGTACTTGGCTCGCATCAACAGCCTGTGCAGCTGCGTGACAGTGCAACCGGTGCGACATTTGCAGCCGTCCTCACAGTCCCAGGTGTGCCGATCGGTGGTGGGAGCTTCCATGCGAAGCAGCTGCAGCAGCAGCAACAGCTACAGCCCACCAGCGCACGTGATCACGCTGCGCCGCAACAGCAGCAACAGCAGCAGCAGCCGATGCTGCTGACCCTCCCCGACGATTTGTCATACTCGCCGCGGTCAAGCTCAAGTCGCTCCGGTCCTTCCAGCCGCTAGCACGGCTTCGAAGCAAGTTCTCCGGAATTTGGGTTCCCTGTGACCGGTGAGAGCGGCGGATGTCCCTTTCCTCAGGTAGGCAGTGGCAAAAAGAAGCGGTACGGCGGTATGGCCTTTGACGAGGAGTACGACGAAGAGTAATTATAATGGTGCGATGGTCCGCGCCTGTGAGGAGGGACTTCCACACGCTGTGTCAGGCTACCTACGGCCTTCAGCGCAATGGTGGCGCAATGCCCTGTGTGGAAGCGCGGCGTTCGCCGGGAAGCGTTTTTGCTACGGGCTCGCATTATGATAAGTTATTCCGGGGTATCCTTCTGCCTCCCGCGTCCCGCGTCCGCTCCCTCTGGTCTGCTGGCTGGGGCGCGCCCCTTCCTTGCCATGGTGATGGTGTTCATTCTTACCCACCAGGTGACTGCCAGGTGGCTCATACCTTGTCTCCGTTGGTCTTATCGTTAGTTAGTTGTGTGCCGCGCTGATACCTCTGCTTGCCCTGTGCGTGGCGTGGCGCCTCTGAACGAATCGAGAGCTGTCGACACTGATGACCGGGTGAATCGTGGTAATGGTGGTGGTGGTGGTGGTGTGGTTTGGCAGAGGCATGAGGTGCGTTGCGGGGCCCCGCTGAGCGGGAGTGAAAGGAAGGTGTCGTGATGCAGTTGCAGTTGAAGCATGGGCGCCAGCGCCGGCGCGGGGCGTTCCCTCAGTTTCGTACTCGACTGGGCTCTCGTTTACTGCGGGGCAAACGTAGCCAGACATATGCACTAATGTGAACTATTGAGGACGCAGCAATACACACCGTTTGGGTTTCCTACGGCAAATCCAAGCATAAAGCAATGGGTCGTGGATTGGGGCAAAGTTTTTTACACGCTTTGCGTGGCACGGACGAGGGAAGGCAGACGGCGTTTGGGTGGATAGGAGCGATGGAGGGTGGCAAGTTGCGCGAGGGATGTGGGAAGAAGAAGAACAAATTTGGTTGGGGAGCCGGGGGAAAAGACGTGTGCAGAGCGCACGGACGAGTTTATGTTCAGGTGATGTGGTTCAGGTGATGTGCAGATTCAGTAACTGAGTCGGTGTGAGGGGAAGGAGGGGAGCCACCGCACGGTGAGTCTCCATGTCATGAGCAGAGTGAGGTAGCGCTCGGTGGCATTGAGGGCCAGCCTGCGTGCTTTGCCTGCTGCGTTAAGAAATCTCTATTGCCTCCATGCAACACTCAATTTAAGTGCAACGCAACTTAAGTACTGGAAGCTCTTTTGGAGGGGTGCTGCGCCTTGCTGGATGCGTCCTATGACATTCCACTTCCCATCGATGAACAAACGAACATACGAGGATAAAAGGTCGTGCCCTCTCACCAATAATGCCATTGCTCAATTGCTGCACGGCAGCACGTGCGCGGAATGCAAACGGATTGTGAAAGATGGGGGGAAGGGGGCCGTTGCGCGTGAAGCGGAGAAAGAGCGGCGGCTTGGACGTCTGCTGTGGCAGCCAGGCAGCGGGTTCAAAAATCAAATGCTCATTTGCATGCGAGAGGAGAGGTGGGCTTTCGTCGTGTTTTTTCCTTGCGTCTGTGGCGAGGCAAGCTTGTGGAAGCGGTGTCGGGCGGTGTTAGTTCAGTCGTGTTTCAGGTCCGTGTGAGGGTTTGTTTGGGGTATATTACTTTCATATTGTGCAATTTGGACAGTGGATGCCATATTTAGCAGCGGCTGTGGTGCACCTGTGTAGGCAAGATTCCAGTAACCTTGCTGGGGATGATGATGGCGCGGCGCAGCGGCATTCCGTCTGCGACAAGGCTATGTGTGCTCTGCATCATGCCGCCGCGGGATGTGCCGTGTGCGCTGCGGAGAATGTGTGAGCTGGCAAGCCGTACAGGTTGCAGATGGCTTGCGCTTCAGCTCAAGCGTAACGCTACTATGTGTGTGCGGAGTGCTTACTGCACGTTTTTATCAAATGCCCATTTCCCTGGTTCATCGGATGGCTTGCCTGTACAATGGATGTTTAAGTTTGTTTTGGCAGGGAGTTGGGGCTCATTTTTATGTTTCTGAGAAGACCGTAAGACCATCAGCCGTGTGGCAGGTTCTTGAAGGTTGCATCGGAGCGGGCTGCGTCTTTGACGCCAGGTAGGAGGGCTGGAATCGGGCAGGGGAGGTTGCCGAATACCGCGAAACGTTTGAATGATGGCAACCTGCTTGCGCAAATGCCGTTTGGCTGAGTTTTGGTCGTTACGGGTATGTATATCTTTCATGGGAATTTGTTGGGTTTCGTGCATGGGGTACAGGGGTGTAGTGCTTAAATAAAAAGGTGTTGCTGCTGTGTTGTCGGAAGCTCGTGGACTGCAGCAGGGACGTCGTCGTCATCATATGTGGCGAGATCGCAATAGGGATGGCGCTTGAATCGTGATCTGTCGAGCTCGATATGCAGTTAACCGTGAACGCTTCTGAACCACGGAACCCGAACCAGGACGTGCTGCGGAAAAGGGACGGCCTGTCACGGTGCTTCTCTGCGTCGTAACATCTCCGTACATCTGTAACCCAACGCGTTCCTCCTAGAACACACATGAGCAGCGGAAGATATGTTCGGGACTCACCCCCCTAGATTGGGACTCACCCCCCTAGGCTGCAGCAAGGGGTAATAAACGTGCGGACTTTCCCTAACCAGCCACCCCTCCTTAAAAACGAATAAGTGGCCGTCCCAGATCCTAACCTGCCATGGGCAAAAAAGCTGGACCTCTGACGCGTGAGAGCACCAGTGTGTGGGTCGCCTGGCGCAAGCAGGTTGGATCATACGGTGCTTCCGATCCTTCAGGCGGCCAGGAGTTCGAAGAAGGAATCAGCAAACCTAAGAAAACATCACATGCACAAGACTGAGCACTCTCCCGAGTGCAAAGCTAATCAAGACCGCAAACGCGCTCCCGCACTCGAATAAGCTGCATATGGTGAGCTCCCTCGAACATGTCAGGTCTCTCCGGCATCTCGGCATGCATGGCTTTCTAGCCCCGTTGGGCACGACGCCATGAGATCGCATCCACACATAATGCATACAACGAATGAATGCAGCCCGCGAGCCAGTGGCGTTGCGGTGCAGCAGCGCCTCTGCCGGAAGCCGCAAGCGGACCCGCCAAGGCGGCTATCGACGTGCGCTGCTGCATAACTGGCGCGAGCTACCGCAGCACAATGAAAGCTAGCTTTAAAAAAGTTGGCAAAAAATTCACATGGATTAATCAGCAGTGTCCATGACCCGCAAGACCGGTTGCATCCTCTAGCCAAACTCTTCCTCCTCTGGCCGCAAACGCTGCAGCATTTCACAATCAGCCCATCGTACGCTGCCAGAATGGCTCTCATCCAGCCGCACAGGAACGCCCTCCTCCTGCATTCATCAACAAGGCTGGCCAGCAGCCTCCGGAGGTTCTCAGGTTCTTAGCGCGGCAAGCTAAAGCCGCGCTGGTGGCGAGACCCTGCATCTTGCCTCCTCTTGGCTCCTCTCCGCTCAGGCCAATCGGTAGGGCGGGTTCGTCGACGTTCAGTACAGGAAAGGAAAGAACTGCGTGCAAGTGTGGATGGGGCGCACGACAGGGGCGCGTAGGTGGCAATAACAAAAGGAACTGACTGACAAGACGTACCTAGCCAGAGCGCACACGCGGAAGAGGCACAGTAGCACCTTACCTTTTTAACCTTGGCCTTGTACTCCGCATACTCTGGATAGCGAGCCAACAGCGCCTTCTCCTCACTCGCGACCTGCATGGGAGGCGTATAACGCAGGAGCAGTAACATAGACAGTCGTCAAAGGGCCGCCGAGCGCCGTGCAGACGGCACGGGGTGAGGTTAATGTGTAAGGCCATCGACAGGAGGAAGGAAACAGGGGTTTGTTAACGCGTCCGCAGTAACGCCAAGCGGCACCCGGCGTGTTCTCGGACTCAGCGCCTGCGTGCCCGCCAGCAGGCTCCCCTGCCACACACCCACACACGTACACCGGCCATCCACGCACCTTATTTTCCAGGACCCACCACAACAAAGCCAAGATCGCCAGCCGGGTTTCGTTACGAGTGAGCACGGCTAGGCCGAAGCCAGCCAGCAGCAGACCCCCGTACATCGGATGCCGTACATACCCTGCGCAACATAGCAAGGACCTATTATGGCATTGCTGGGGCCCGCAAGGTAAATTGTTTTGTACGTAATCGCCATATCGCCAACTCAGCTCACAGGTGCACACTCCCAACACCGGCTGTAGTAGCCGGTACACTGTACGGCACCGTGAACAACTACAAATACGCGCCAAGCGCGTCCACCAGCATCTCGAGAGGCCCTTTCAGCGGCGGCCAGCTACTTTAACCTGACCATGAAACTCAAACGGGCTGCTGGTCATGCGGCCCTATCATATTAAGTTGATTGATAGAGCCTGTGTGGGCTGGTGTCGGAGACTGTGAAAACGCGGTGCAATTCGCTGCAATCGCCCCCAACTGCCCCAAAGATCGAAATTCCCCAAACCGGTGCGTTAGGCGTTTTTTTCCGAATCACTTGCCATAGATGCCTGACAACACCAGCTGGTGCTTTTTCCGTGGCTCCGGCAGCGGGCTGATGTTACGTCCGAGGTTGAAGAACGCCGTCGTGATAAAGACCAGACCCGACGTCAGGGCCAACGTAGCGCCAAAGTCCACCAAACCCTGCTGGACAAGCCGGAACCACCACGGCAGAGCCTTTCAAGCGTCCAGGTTCAGGTTCGCGAGGGCGAGATCCATGTACACATGCTACCTACATTCACGGCTACCACCAAGAGGGAATGCCAACCACTTTTCGTCGCCTGAGCCGGACCACCAGCAGTGGTCGTCTTCCACAAGCCGCCGTACATGAAGGCTACCCACTACCCACTACCCGACGCGCGAAGCTAGGACTAGTTTTGTCCCAAAAGCCACTTTTTATGAGACATGCACAGCTGCCTTAGGAGGAACGCGCACTGCCCCACACGCACACAGCGCACCTTGAGGGTCAGGGGCGGGAAGAGCAGCATGCCGATGGCCGTCACCTGCGCTAACAGCCACTGCTCCCCGCGCTTGCCGAACACGTTCCCGTCCATCACTTCGGAGAACAGCTCCTGCGAAGTGGACCACCAAATAAAACTAACTAACTAACCGACCGGGGACACCCAACAAGTCCCAAGTACACAAAAGCACACACACACACACACGTGTGAACACACGTGGCTGCGATGGGCGATGGGCAATGTGGCTGAGTACGCGATGGGAACGCAAGCTCATATCGTTAGCTGCAGCGGCGTCACGTGCGTGTCCCCCCAACCTTGCTGTTTGCTCTTCATGACTCACATGGAGAAGACTACGACGGGGGAGCAACCTTGCTGTGGCCCCCCAAGACCCAAGAACTGGATATAGTTCTCAACGCGCGCAGTGGTCGATCCCAACGTACCTTAACAAGGGCCTAACCCCGAAGTTTAGAACCCATGCCCATTTCGTAACCCACATCCAGATGGTGGTCCGCAACTCTCATCTCGAACGCCGAGCTTGCCAGAGAACAGCTGCTGCTGTTTCCGCCTACCTTTGAAGCAATAAGATCCTCCTCTTCCTCTTCTGGCACTTCTTCAAGAGGGTGGGCCGTCAGGCTTGAGCTGGATGGCGGAGCAGCTGCTTCCACGCGTCCCCCCTGCTCCCCGCCAGCGGAAGTGCTGGGCTGGGCCTCCTCCACCACCACAGCTTCGGCTACGGGATTGCTTTCAGCTTGGATGACAGTCGCTTTCTCAGCATCGGCTGTGGTTGTGGCTGTGGCATCCGCGAGAGTTTTTTCTTCCTGCTCCGGTTCCTTCGCCTCACGGCTGGGCTCTGGCCCCGACCCACTGCGATATACCGTAGAAGTTGCTTAGCTCACTGCGAGGATCGGTGCAGGCTGGATGCTCGTCTGACTCCCACTACACACCTTGCAGTGAAAGCGATGGGTCTTGTTAACAAGGGCTGGCGCCTTGCAAAGCCGCGGTAGAGTACCGCGGTCCTTGCACTCTTAGATATAAGACAGCTTTGCATTTCCGCTCTAGCAGAAATACAAGGTAACACCTTTGGGCTCGATATGATTGATGGTACCGAAAGCAAGTCCGTATTCCGTGCTGTAGTGCAAAATAAGCGTCAGTGAAACTAGGGGTCTATTACCTGCGGCAAATCTTCTTAATGATAATCCGTAACCAGCAGCAAACAGATATGTTTGAACAGCAGTTGCCGTACACACAGCGGCAAGACCCCTCAAGATAAAGAGCCTGGTATCGACTCTACAAATCAATTATCGACACCATACAAGATAAAGAGCCTCGATTTCCATCGGCTCCCCACACGAGCTGCCTGACGCTGCAATGTGGGCGATATCCTAGGCGTCTGCGTTCTTGCGGTCGTCATTGTAACGCTGCCGTTTGCCGCATTGGTTGCCCTTGCCGAAGGGCTGCCCGCATTGATAGCAAATATTTTTTTCTTTAGCTAGCTCGCGTACACAAGTCGGCACCTCGAAGCTGCCGCCGCGGCCGCGGCCGTCGTTGGCGCCACCGCGACGGCCGCCACGGCCGCCATTGTGACCAGCAGCTGGCTCGCACGCGGCCGGCGGCGCAGTGTTGGCGGCCGGCGCGGCTTGGACGATGATTGGTTGCGGCAAAGGCTGAGGCGCCTGCGCTGGTTGGGTTAGGGTGGCCGGGGCGGTGACCTGTGCCGGTACGGCGGGCACCGGAGGTTCTTCAGCCGTTGGCTGCACCATGGGGCCTGCTTCGGTTGGCGCGTTCGGCTCGATGGTAGGAGAAGGCAGTGCGACACATGGCAGGGTGCAGCCCGTGAGACGGTTGGATGCTGGAAAACTTGAGCATCTCTCGGGGAGGATGGACAGCATGCATGCACAGATGCAGGCCCCAAGTTTTTCCAGCACCAATGTCCAATCGTCTCGTGGGCTGCACCCTGCCGTGTGCCGCACTGCCTCATCCTACCATCGAGCTGAACACGCCAACCGAAGCAGGCCCCATGGTGCAGCCAACGGCTGAAGAACCTCCAGTGCAGGCACCTCAGCCTTTGCCGCAACCAACCATTATCCAAGCCGCCATCGTCCCGGCCGCCAACAATGCACCGCTGGCCGCGAGCGAGCCAGCTGCTGGCCACAATGGCGGCCGTGGAACCCACACCCACCAGGGTGGACACAGCCACAGGAGCGACCACACCCACCGAGGTGGCCACAACCACCGGAGCGACCACACCCACCGAGGTGGCCACAACCACCGGAGTGACCACACCCACCGAGGTGGCTGCAACCACCGGAGCGACCACACCCACCGAGGTGGCCGCAACCACTGGAGCGACCACACCCACCGAGGTGGCCACAACCACCGGAGCGACCACACCCACCGAGGTGGCCGCAACCACCAGAGCGACCACACCCACTGAGGTGGCCGCAACCACCAGAGCGACCACACCCACTGAGGTGGCTGCAATGCAGCAGGCCATGGTGCTGGTTGTGGTGGCGCCAATGGTGGCCACGGCAGCAGCTTCGAGATGCCGGTCTGGTTACACAAGCTAGCTTAAGAAAAAATATTTGCTACCATTGCGGGCAGCCCTTCGGCAATGGCAACCAATGCAGCAAGCGGCAGCGTTACAATGATGACCGCAAGAATGGGGACACCTAGGTAATCGCCCACATTGTAGTGTCAGGCAGCTCGTGTGGGGAGCTGATGGAAATCGAGGAGTAACCCATGAACCCAGTGGTGCCTCCACCGACAGTGGACTGTAGCCATGCTGTGCTTCGCTCAGTGCTTTTGTGTCTGCAGAAGGCCTCGGGTGGGGTGTTCACGATCGACGCATCTTGTAACGCAAAAAGCGACAACTCCTTGTGCCCTGACTTTGCCTGCTACGAACCATAATTCACGTGATCTTAGCGGATGGCATATCTGGTGCAACACGCCAGCCGATCGCGCAATTCTCACTACAGCACTTGCAAACAGCGCACCCCGGACAAAACTAGAGTGGTTATTTTGGTGCCTAAGTGTGCCCAGCTGGAAACGAAGTTTCAAGACGCGGTTGGACCCTATTCAAAAAGTTTGCAAAAGACTCTCGCATCTTCTCCAAACCTAAACCCAGAGGCGCACCCGCACCAGGTCCCCAAACTGCAGTGGCGAGTTCCAAGCATGGCTCGACCCCTGCCAGGAAATGTCCAAATGTCCTGCACTAGAACCTCAGGCTGAAAACACCGCGCTACTATTACCATGCAACTTCACTAGCACCAAAGCTGTCGCCTTAGTCGACTTGGGTACTTCACACGCTTTCATCTCCGCTGCACTCATGCAAAAACTGGACTTGCAGCCCCATACCAGCCACGTAGCAACTTGCGTGCCGGGAGACGGCGCAAATCGCGTCCGCTTACAAGGTCAGGTGTGTGTGTGTGTGTGTGCGTGTGTGTTAACCCTAAGTTAACATGGTTGGGGGTGCGTGAACCCATACCTGTAAAACTACCCATACGAGCCGAAGGCATAAGGGCGATATCTATACGCCTAAAAGCCTTGGAAAACAGGAAACACCGCACATCAGCCCAGACTAGCGTCCAAAGGGGGTAACTGAGTTTCGGTGAGCCTACATACGTTCCTACATCCTCGCCAGACGTGCTGGTTCCCATTTCATGGCCTCCAACATGCTCTGTTGATGATCGAATCCCTCTTCAGCACGAATATCATTATAGGCTGGGCATTCCAATAAAACGTATTTTTCATCCTCGATTCGGCTATTAGTACCACAACAGCGGCAAAACTGCTGCCCCCTGGGGACATGGTATTTGCCCCTTCGTGCTCTGTTTGCCTCCAAAGCCCAGCAACATAAACGAAACTGCATTAGCTTACGATGTGCTAAACGAGGAATGAAAACCTTGGCATGTGTTGGCCACATGACGGCTGCGGCTCCCGAAAAGGGCAGCCCCATCCAGTGCTTATACTTCGCCATTTGCACTCCCGGTTGCTTCCCATCTGATGGGTACTCCTCTGGCAAGACAGTCAGACGCGCATGGTCCCAGCCGCTCATCAAACGCTTCCTTTGTGCCGTTATCACCGCTCCTTCGGGTAGAGGTCTACTCAACAACCAGTCAACACGCTCCTTTACCCCCATGACTTCTTGCGGTATTCCGCTCCAAATATTGCACTCCCAAGTAGGAAAACAGTCGTAACATCGAGGTTCCCCAACCCTCCCATTCCGGGTTGGTCAGAGCATCAGTTATCTGCTGCCGTAAAACTGCATGAGCAATGGACCCCACTTGCTTTTGGAGGCAGTTCCAGAAACGGAGGAGTATCCAAGGGTTCCGCTGCGAAATTGTAGTTCAAGTCATGTAGTGCAAGTTACATCTAAGCTAGCCGAAGGCATCGACCTTATTCTTGGCAGCGGCTGGATGCAGTACTCGACTTTGGCCAGGGCACCTGAATGATGACACGCCATGGCTGCTCGCATCGGCTGCAGAGCCTAAATAGGCCGCTGTCCGAGGGTGTTGCGGTCATGAATTATGTAACTGTGGTTTTACACGCGGCAACCTAGTGTCTCTAAAGCAGATCAAAGAATTGCAGAAGCAAGGGTCGTCTTGTTGCGCTGCCTCATAACAAGCGACGATGATGCCCAGCTAAACGCCAAGGATGCCACATCGGCGGCCGCGCCCGACCCTACCCTGGTGTCGCCAGAAAACCTGCTGGCCGAATATAAGGAGGTTTTTCAGCTCTTAACGGGCCTGGGGCCTGATCTCGGCGCTGGCCACACCATCGAGCTGGGTTCATGGCTGACTCCTCGATACGGTATGAAGGTAAAGAGCCTGGTAGCGGCGTTACGAATATAGCCGGATGGATTTTGGGTCATGATGCGACCCGTCTGAAGACATTTCCTTATGTCTTGGCTGAATGAAAATTTGGTTGCAGAAAGACGCCAAGTCCTGAGAGTCTCATCCTGGCAGAACCCACTTTCGAAATGGTCATGGCGTCTTACTCCACACGGTCGCATGCGAGCCGTCTTTTTGCAGTGAATCATGGCAACGGCCCAAACCATCGTTATCGCTGCAGCTGTCTCATGTTAAGGCTTCGCCCATATGCACGTATGTGCATGGAATTGTTGAGTGAGGCTAGCTTGCAAGTGGCTTGAAATGCCTCCTGTCCTTAACTACTAATTTTCAGCCCGACATGGATCAGCAACTCGGTACTGTTACCAACTCTTACCGCTCGAATCTGCTGCGCACAAACATGGCCCAGATCGATGACTGGAGCCGCAGCGACGGAGATCTCAGGATCGCCTTGCCCCTCCACATTTGGGATAGCCTTGTATCATTACCTCTTTCAATCTGTGAGTACCTGCCCATCCTTGCAAATTTTGCACGGCCGAAATCTTTGCCATATCCCTTACCAGCGAGAGAGAAATATTCTCGCATACATACAGATCGTCCCACCTTCCGCGGCCATACATAACGCGCGTGATCGCTGACAACACCCAATACCACTACTGTACCATTTTCAAAAGCGGCTTAGGAAACATCTTTCCCCTTGCCACTGCGATCTTGCGTCAACCTGCTTCCCAACGTTTCAAGCCTCGCAACGTCATCAACATCCCAAATCCTCCACGCTCCTGCTACCGCTGCCTCGAGCCCCCGGTAGCCGCACAGCACAACACCAAGCTAACCGCCGCGGCGTCCTCGATCTCGCAGTCTCGCCGCAAAACATTATCGCCTCCCAGCCAATGCTTTTTCCTCCACAAACATCCTGCTGTAATAAGGACAGCGCCCATCGAAACCAATTATTCAGCGCTTCCGAAGCCATAGCACCTAATCACGTGTTGCTAAACAGCATTGCTCAAAACTGAAACTGCGCCTCCTCCCCGAATCCCAATTCGTCCAGATGCTGCTTCATGGCGTTGCACATGGGGGTGGGCCCACAGCGGAGAACCATATGACCAGGGCCTGCGTACATTCGAAAACAATTATGTAAAGCCTACGAAATCGGGTTCAGGCTTCCAACGCACACAAAAGCTCCATGTTATTACATTCCCCCAAGCGGGCGGAGGCCATCAATGCATGTAGGACAAATCCCGATTCAATAAGACAAATCCCAATATATTTCTGGGGCTACTCGAAGCCTACTGCAAAGCGACGGGTATGGTCGCGAATGCCGCCAAGTGCGAGGTCCTCATTTTATGGGGCGCTACACGTGAGCGGAAGCGGCTTATGGAAGCTGAGTACCGGTTAGGTGGGGCGGGGTTGCGGGTGCTGACCGGCAACGAGACGGCACGGTATCTCGGGTTGCACTATGGCACAGGAGTGCAGTTCTCAGCATGTACCAAGCAACTACTCACAGCAGGGAGGCAGGCCACGTTTGGGCTCAGCACCCTGTGTCGAGATAAGAAAATTACCACCCCCAAGCTATGTATGTCTCTCTACAATACACTAGTTGTACCGGTGTTTTCTTATGGAGCGCAAGTTTGGGGACCTGACTTCATAAATGTGAGTTTTGAAGGTGCTACGACTAATCCCATGGTCCAGGAACAGCGTGCATACATGCGATCTGTAGTTGGCCGACTATGGTTTCCCTGTACCGCGAGCTGTCACAGAGGCCGCTCCAGTTCCATTGGACCAATCTTGTACTTAGGTTTTGGAACTCTGTGGTTAAGACGCCGGGAACGCTGTGTCACCGGGCATTTATCGCTGACCTGGAGTTGGCACTTGGGGGCGTCACTGAGTGTTGGGCAAGTAAGGTACTAGCCTTTCTTAGTAGCTTAGGAGCGGAACCCCCCACTAATACGCGCGGTAATGATCTTATAGCGTACTATGCCACCCTTAAATTGCCAGTTGGGAGCATTCTTAAGGTATTTGCCAAGCGGCTTGATGCATACGGTGGGAGTGCCCGAATATCTTGGGCGACCCCCGCGTTTTCCCCATAGGGATTACCGGAGCCAAGGCTTGTCGCTATATGAACTGGATGGGAGCTGCCCCGCCTAGGGGTGCGCGTCACGATTGGTTGGAACACAATAAAGTGACCATGCCCCAGCGACTACATCATGTGCTCATGCGTTTACGGTTAGGCTGTTGGAAGTCAGAGGTTAATAGGCCTAACAGGCGTGAGCGCACCGCGCGTACCTATAGGCTTTGTGACTGTGGAGCGGTTGAAGATGAGTTGCATGCTTTCGAGGAATGTCCCGCTTACAAGAGCATACGGGCTAACTATGATGGTGATCTAGTCTTTAAGGGGCGCAGCATGCGCACCATTATGACTGAGGCGCCACCCCTGGTATTGGCCAGGTACCTCGGAAATTTGGGAGGCCAGGCACGTCGCGCTGAGGCGCTTCGCCCTGAACCGGACGAGGGAGGATGAAGATGACCTCCCGCGTACCCGCATCAATACCAATACAACGTCCATGGCCCCCACGGCTTTCACGGACACACCCGCACTTGTGTGCGGAACTTGTAACTTGCTACAGGCAAGAAACGGGTACGCTAGATCAATTTGAATCAGGACGTTTTAGTCACCCACCAGGGGCCGGTAGGCGCTCCGCAATCATTTCCTTAGTGATGAAGCCGCTGCCCCCCTGCCAGCCGCTCGCCGGCGGGTTGTTGAGCACGTGAAATACGGACAGGCGGTCACCGTGCATGGCTACAAGCTGATCGAGCTCCTGCAGGCAAGTGGGAGGCGTTGGGGTCCAGGCAACGGATGAGCGGGCATGGGCCCTGGGTGACCCCGGCGAAAACCCAATGGCTTGAGAGCTCAATATATATGTGTGTGTGAGAACTTATGCAAGGAAACCAGAAATAAACTGCCGGCGGGGCGGGGGGATTTCACCGGTGCTTGTTGCTGTAAAGAGACCGCCCAAACCCTTGAAGGGGCTAGCTATGGACCAAAGCTCAGCAGTGTTGCTCGCGGTTGGCCAGCGCTGAGCACTTGACGGTTGACCAGGAGCTGACCCGTGGATCGAAACTTCTAATGAAGACAAGCTCAATGTACCACATCATTGGCACTGCAGCCGGTCCCAAATGATATGCCGGTCCGTTAGGAGGTGAATCAGGGACGGAGACGCAACCAGCGGCACGTGTGCGTCCAGGGGAGGAGGTGCACGCGCATGCAGCCACCGGCAAACCCTGCCGAGGAAGCAGACCTGTCCTGTGCGCGGGGACCATGCATTCCACAGCCCTTCCCTGCTGCCCGCTGTATGGCTGCACAACTGTTGCCCAGCCCGACTAGTTACCGCTCCCCAGCATGTGGCTGTGGAGCCGATTTACCTTGCGAAGCAGGATATCATCCTCCGTCAAATTACCGTACAAAAGTGTTATGCGGGTACGATCCTTGGGGTCCTTGAGGACTGCATTGAGCACCTGAAACATGGGCGTGATGCCCGTGCCGCCCGCCAGCATGCCTGCCAGCGCGTAAAGCACACGATGATTGGATTGACAGCACACGCATCCAACTGCACGAAATGCTGTGTTTGAGAATTGACAGAACCATCGTCCAAGGTTGGAATGAGAAGGTCGGATATGCTGGGACGACGGACTTAAAATGCGGCACGAAGGCGAGCCCAGCTGCCGCTTTGCACCCCCACCCGGCTGTGGAGCTTAGGCTTAGCACGAGAACCACCCTCACCCATTGATGCTTACCAAAATTCTTCACCATGTTAGGCGCGTAGATGAAGCGGCCCTTAGGACCTTTCATAAGCATTGTATCTCCAACTCGCATTTTAGCGATCACTTGCGACATTTTCCCTTGAGGGTAGATCTTGATGACGAAATCGACGCTGCCCAGCTGGTCATCATCGGAAACCGGGGTGTAAGGCCGGTAAATGTCCTTCCCATCGTCACCTTTCGCAAGGAACGTAATGTGCTGACCGATGGGCAGCCCTAAACGTTGCTTAGGATCCGGTAGTGAGAATCGGAGACGCACAGTGTTATGTGTTATATAGGTTTTCTCTGTGAGCGGTAACGGCTTGAACTCGCTTGGGTCAAGGAAAGGCTTTTTTTCTTTCGGCCTCTTCAGCAGTAACACCTGCAGCCGCAGCGATCAGGCATGGATCAGTCTTTAAATCAAAATCCGTACTCCCATACAGCACCAGTAATAGCGACCGCGCACCAGCGCCAAAGCCAAGATGATGACGACGACCGGCAGCACCAACTGCCAGTTTGCCTTTGCAAATACTAGAAGATCATCCAAAGACGGCGGTAATGATTGTGTAGGTGCCATGGTAAAGCAGAACGATGTTCCAGCGCTTCCGTCGGCGGGGCAGTTTCCGTTATGACTCAAGCAACAGAAGGCCCCTGCCTTAGACTATGGAGTAGGTAAGGCCGTCTGCGTGCACACATATTTAGGCCATTCAGCCACTAAGTCGTTCAGCAGCCGTTTACGCGCGAAATGTTGCCGTAACGTAAGCTGTACGAAAACATGCAGAGAAACGAGAAAGTAAGAGAAGGCACAAGGAAGACAACCAGATCGTAGAGGGAGTTCAAATGCCTTTCCTAAGCCTATAATCATATATGGTACGCAGTATTTCCATGGTGTTGACAAAAATCTATGGATGTGCTTCGAGAGGCGAGCTGTGACAACCAGGAACGGCAACACCATCTTAGTCTTAAGTAGCAAGTAATGTCCGCACCAACAATATCTCTTGTTCCCTACCCGCCGGTGCCACCCAATGGACCGTTTACGGGCTCAAGCACCGAGTACTGGTAGGCTCTGACGCTTAAGCCAAAGTTTGGATAGGGCTCCTGAAAGCTTTTGAGGCCTTGGGTTGAGGGAGTAATGCCTGGTTTGATCAGCTGCCTGTCACTTGCCATATACGGTGAAAGCTGCTTTATTTCTACCTATATTCGGTACTGGCACGCAGGTCTCAAACACAGGCTAACCAGGCTGCCTTAGCTGTTCAAGCACAGGAAACTTATCGAATGCAAATTGAGGAGAAGTGAGTACGTTCCGTTGCAAATAAATTAGTGCGCTCCGTACGGAGCTCTTTGTAGTTGTAGTTCTTTCATTTCGTCGATGGCCTCTAGTTGGGCCGAACACGAAGCCAAAATGGTTTTACGGTATTACGCATTTGCGCAAACTTTAAGCTTACCTTCAAAGCAGCGACCTGGCCCACTCCACCTGTTCTACGTCAGCCTCATGGAACCCTAGCACCAAACGTCGAAACGCGCAACCTTCCATAACCTACCGCAAGGCTATCCCACACTCACACACCCACACACTAACCTCCGTATCCGCCATATCACCCACCGGTGCTCACGCGCATGAGGCGCGCGCACAGCAATGGACCATCCGCCCGCGCCGACCCTCCGCTCTCCCAAACCTCTCCCCCCCACAAACACCGCCGCTACCCACCGCAGGGCACGTAATCGCCTGCGGCGGCACCAGCGTGTTTTCACCTGGATGTACAACATACTCGCAGTTGGCGAGCTCGTGTACTTCATAGTCGGGCTGTACGTAGTGGAGTGGCAGGCAAGTCAACAGGGCCTTAGGGTTCAATTTGAATTTTTGGGTCGTCCTGCAGGCTGCCGCTCGGCAACCCGCAACCGACCTCCAGTTCCCGACGCATCCGCCCCCTCCAAAGCCCACATTCCGTACCACGCACACACACACACACACACACACACACACACACACACACATATATAGACATCCCCTCATCGCGGCTCGGATGATTAACATGCACGCACGCCTAGACACATACCTGCCCACTGTACATCTCGCGGTTCGGTCCAGATAAACACACATACATACGGACACACACATGCGCCTCGCAGGTGGCGGACCTGCAGGACAATCCGTTGCTGGGGCCCGGGCAGGATGGTATCTTAAAAATGGGGTGAGTGGGCCGTACAGTTTACCTGGCCCGTGACTTTTGGGTAAGGAGTAGGAGGGGTGTGTGAGTGTGCGGGAGGGGGGAGGGAACCAAGCGCGGGATGTGGGGGTGTGAGTGCGCCATACACATACACACACATACACACTCTCGCATGAGCTCCATATCCCGCGCTTCTCCCCCCCCTTTCCAAACACACACACCCTGAGGAACTCGCCCGGGTATCATCTGTAATGTAATGTAATGTTACAGAGTGGGAGGCTTCTGGGCCGCTTTATCACATTGTCAGTTCTACGATTTATCACCTTATAGCACCATCCACCACTACCACACTGTCTTCGCCATACGAACTGAGTCCAAGGCGGCGGATCCAGCCTTCAGGGACCCCTCCTCATCCATTCACCCGAACATCCGAAGAGACGGAGGGTTCGGCAATCGCCACCAATCCAGCGTGCGAATCTGGTCCATCAACTGTGACCTCAACTCTACATCTCAGCAGCTAGCCATAATCTCGCGCTCCGACTACTTCGGGGGTCTCCCCGGGAATCGAACCCAGGACCTTAAACCGCTAATTGCAGTAGTGTCAGCCCAGACCAGACCAGGGTATCATCTGGCGTTCGTGTCTGGCTGGCTGGGGGGGGGGCGGCGTAATTTTGTTATTTTATATATTATTATATATATTATTATTTATTATATTATGTATACGTTTCTTTGTGCCCGTTCACTAGGCCCCTGCCTGCCTGGCCGTTTCTTTCGCCCAGACGTACTGCCGTACTGGTCCTTTCCTGCTGCTGCCGGAATGCTGCTGCCGCTTCTCCCCCAACTACAGGGGCACTGCCACCAGCCGTCTTGTTCTGTGCTTGCCTAAAATTGTGGACGTTTGCCACCACCACCTACCCAATATACCATGGCTTTTTACTTCGACTCGTACGGCAGTTGATGGCGCTTGGGACTTGTCGGACAATTGTAACTCTTTGCTTTCCCTTCTTCTTCTTCTTCTTCCACCATTATAATCATCATCACACGAAACCCGTCCCTCCCTCCCTCTCTCTCTTTCCCCTTTGGCCGGAGAGAGAGAGAGAGATCTCCGCGTATCTCGGGTATCTGCTTCACTCGTCCGTGGTTTGTCTTTCCCCTCCCTCCCCCCTCCCCCCCTTCCGCCGCCTTCACTACTACTACTTTACGGATTGGCAATACTATTCCGCTTTTTTAGTTCTGGCGGCGTAGGTAGGTAGTTTTCACGACATCTTCTTCACTTTGTCATCCCGAGGTCACGGTCGCCACGGACGCCTTTCGGTTAGTTCTACGTTTGTTACTCTCTTGCCCTGGCAGCAGCTTCAATCGTGTGTGGTTTGTCTTTCCTCCCTCCCCCCTCCCCCCACCCGGGGACACAGAGGCACCTACACGCAACGCATCATCAACCGGCACCAGTACTGGCGCCTCATCACCTCACTCTTCCATAACGCAGGTAAAGATTCAAAGAACTGTTTTCTGTGAGGGGTCTTGTGGAGCACATGGCAAATTGTCCGCCGTACGTCCATTCGTACATTCTCTGTACGGTAGGCCATAGACCTTTCACTTCCTCGGGTAATTGTTGACTGGGTCGCTTCTTGCACATTTTGACTTTCTCTCTCTTTTCCCCCCTCCGGCTCTTGCATGTCATTATTCCCTCGGGGACCCCAAGAATTCACATACATACATACAGACAGATAGACACACACACAACCCTGTGTCCTCCCTTCGACTGCAGGTGCCATCCACTTGACTGCCAATATGGGAATGGTTTGGACGTTTGGTCATTTCCTGGTTCGGGAGATCAGTCCCTGGCTGGTTGGTGAGTGTGGAGGAGGGGCGGTGGTTGGGGGAGGGGGAGGGGGAGGAGGCAGAAAGGACGGGGTTTGTTTGGGAGGTGGCGGTGGAGCCCTTCCGGTCTGTATGTGTATAGTTGGTTGGTTGGTAATGGCGATAAAAATGTTCTGAGACGGTCTCATCCGGCAGTTTGTTGTCTGTTTGATTTTACGGAAAGAAGAGCGGTGGTGGGATTCGGTGGTGGGCCCCCCCCCACGGCGCTAAATCCTTGGTTGCAGGCGCAAGGGGTTGGTGGTGGTGGTGGAGGGGTTCCTGTATGTATGTCTGTAAACATGTATTATATATGAATGTTCATGGCACACACAAAAGGCACCTTGATCAATAAAACACACCCTTTGTTCTTCCCGCCTTCCCGCTCCCCCGTTTCCCTTCACTCGTCTGTGCTTCGCGTCCCCCCTTTTTTCCCCCTCTTTCCCCGCCCCCCCCCGCATATGATTTCTCCCCCCCCCAACACACACACACACACACACGGAGTCAGCGATGATGTACGTCACCGCGGGTCTTTCCGGGCTGATGGTGTCGGTGAATGTGGGGGCGCAGCACTCCACCGCGGGGGCCTCCATTCCGTCATTCGCACTGGCGGGTGAGGGCGGTGCCGCCGTGCGTACCCTACCTTCCCTCCTCACTACCCGACCTCCCGACTTCCTCTCCTTGGGGGGGTTGAGGTATTGGCAGTGGAAGGGGGCAGTGTGCGCGTGGCCTGTGCTGGGTAGTGGTGGGGGTGGGGGGCGGATGAT